TTTATATGGTTGTTGTTCATACTTGTCAGCTATCTTGTGTTTGCCATTGAACTTGAATATTCTTACTAAAACAGGGTCTCCTTCTGTAATTTTTGATGCCTTTGCCTTCTTGTTATATTGTATAGTAGTTCTTGTCTTCTTAATTCCCATTATCTGACAAAGTTCTTTTATTAATTCTTACATGTACAAGAATTTATTTTTTGTGTCATGTAAAACTCATTTATTTAAACCGTTAAAGATGTAAGTTTACTAAGTATATACTTGTATTAATAAGTGTTAGTATAAAATTTACACTTAAATTTTTAGAAGAATATTTTAAATACATGTATAATTTTGTTTACCTCACTTGATAGAAAGAGAAACTTCAAATTTATTATATTTGAATTAAATTTTTGAATTAAAATTTGAACATTTTTCGCAAATACAACTATATACTGATTATAAGATTATAATTAAGATATTTTTTTTTATTTTTGTATTTTGACAGGAATACTATATTTAGGTAATTAATTTTTTCATATTTGAATGCATTGAATTATTAAGGATTAGTCGTTTATAAATTTTGAATTGATCTTAATAATTGTTGACTCAAGGTATTGAAAACAATTGACTAGTTTTGAGTGTGAACTTAAGTTAAGTGAATAAAAGAACTTAAGTGAATTATTATTATTTTAAGTCATAGTGATTCGTTACTTGAGTTGATTGAAGTGATAAATGAAGTTGTGAAGTGAACTGAATGGAACTGATTACTGAAGTTGTGAAGTGAATTGAATAGAACTGATTACTGAAGTTGTGAAGTGAACTGAATAGAACTGATAACTGAAGTTGTGAATTGAACTGAATAGAACTGATTACTGAAGTTGCGAAGTGAACTGAATACAACTGATTACTGAAAGGGTGAAGTGAACTGAATTAAATACATAGTGAACTGCAGTAATTACTGATGTTGTGATGTGAACTGAATTGAATTGATTACTGATGTGATGTGAACTGAATTGAATTGATTATTGAAGTTGTGAATTGTGACATGAACTTATTTGATCACTTAAGTGAAGGGTATTGAGTTAAAGTGATCACTTAAGATAGTGAAAAGGATTGAGATGAATACTTAAGTGAGTGAAGAAGATTGGATGGAAATTGATACTTAAATTGAGTGAAACGGATATTTATACTTAAGTGAATTGACATTAGGTGAACTGAATACTTAAGAAAGGAAGTGAATAATTCAATACGTAAGTTGAGTGAAATGAGTATTCATACTTAAGCGATTGACATAACGTAAAAAAAAATACTTAAGTTAAGTGAAGTGAAAAGTTAAATAAAGTGAACTGGAAATTTGTATTATATGTTTTAGATACTTAGATGAAGTGAAGTGGACACTTAAATGAGTTTTTGGATAGTATGTCACTGAGGGAATCGGAAGTTAAGTTTAGTACTTAAGTGAATTACTTAAGAAAAAGAAAGTGAAAGAGGAGTGGAAGAAGAGTTTGATACTTAGGTGAATTACTTATGTTAAGGAAGAGACTTACGTAAATTAATTAAGCTGAGTCGAGTGAAACTTAAGTAAACTATTAACAGAAAAGACATACATTATTGAAACAATCTGTGTTGAGTGACACTTAAGTGAACAATTTAAGTTAAAGAGGAAACTTACTTAATTGAACCAAACGGAGTTTAGCGACACTTAAGTTAAAGGAGAAAGTTTAAGTTAATTTAAGTGGACTAAGTGAACTTTATAGTGATTTGAGTGAATTTTATGAGTGGACTTTATTGTAAAGAAAAGAGTAAGCAACTATATATTTACAAATATGGATACAGGAAAAGATGGAAAAGCTGCTGATAGTATTTCAGAGGAGGAAAAGCAAATCTTAGAAGTTTTTCACAAATTATCATTAAAACCAGAGAAAATGGAAAGTCCGGAGGATTTAATTGCTTTTGCGGACCAGATTAAACTGTTGAAATCTGCATCATCTACGAAATCAGTACCAGCAGAAGAAACATTTTCATCAAAAGGCAGTTATCATTTTCCAAAACTATCAACTTTCTATGGAGAAGATAACAAGGGAGATGTCAGTTGGGAAACTTTTAAATTTGAAGTAGATGCATTGATGGCTGAAAAATACTTTACGGATGAACAAATTTTACTTGGAATTAGAAGATCAGTGAAAGGAAACGCAAGTGATGTTGTTAGAAGATTAGGCACAGGGGTGACAATACAAGAAGTTATGATTAAACTTTCAAGCACTTTTGGTAACATCGAGACGAGAGAAAGCAACCTTAGAAAATTCTATTCTATAAAACAGTCTTCAGATTCAGTGTTGGTGTTTAGCTCAAAATTGGAGGAAATATTTACACAAGCTATCAACTTAAAGGCATTAAAGAAAACTGATGATGAAATCTTGAAACAAGTTTTATATCAAGGATTGAGACCAGAAATCAAACACTTAGCTGCATATAAATGTGATGCAATTGATGATTATGATGAATTCAAAATTGAGCTACGAAAGATTGAGGCTGAACTTAAGTCAGAGACAGAAGGAACTCATAAGAAGTGTAGTGCAGCTATCAACATAGAAAAGAAAGAGTCATCAGAGATGTCAGAAATTAAAGATTTATTGAAGAAACTCAATGATAGGATTGACACCATCGAGAAAGATAGAAAGCAAGATACATATCCTCAATATCAACATCAATATCCTAGAAGTTACAGAGGTCAAGGTAGAGGATTCAATCAAAGATATATGTATGGTAGAGGCAGAGCTGAATTACGACCATCTAGACCAACTGGCAGAGGTACCTTTCAACCAACATGTTTCAACTGTAACGGGAAAGGACATTTAGCCAAGAATTGTCCTTCAAGCATTCCAACCTGCTACAAATGCAACGAAAAGGGACATATCGCCAGAACTTGCCCAAAAGAGTAGGTGCTTTTGTTGTAGGATCAAATAAAAGCACATGTAATGATGACAAAGATCCTAAATTAGTTGGACATACAAATGAGGTGAAAATTGATCTTGAAGGAATAGAAACTACAGCACTCTTAGACACAGGAAGTTGTATCAGTGCAATATCAAAGTCTTTTTATGATAAACATTTACAAAGTGTACAACTTAAACCGCTATCAGATCTTCTACAAATAGAATGTGCAGATGGTAACCAGCTCCCTTATGAAGGATATGTAGAAATCAACATGACAGTTACTCGAGGATTACCAAATGTGACAACACGTACTTGTTTATTTCTGATAACACCAGACACATGATTCTCTTTCAAAACTCCAGTCATCACCGGAACCAATATTTTAACAGAACTCCTCGAAGAATGTAAACAGAATTTTGGCGATCAATATCTACAAAGAGCAAATTTATACACAAAATGGTATTTATCCTTCAGATGTATTTCGATGAGAGATAGAGAGTTAAACAAACATAAAATACTCAATTTATACAAAAAAGATATTTACATCATGAATAGAATACACAAATACATTGTTTATAAACTTACCAAGTTATGGACCTGCTCACACAAACAACAAGCTCTCCGGTGAACTGTGTACAACCTTCAACTGTTAAACTGCAATCAAAATAAGAATCATGTGCACAGGTTTCAGGAATGTGACATTGTTAAGATGTTTTATTGTTATTAATAATTGTTAGAGTAAATACTGCCATTTTGAGGTACCTGTACAATTTATCAAGTATAGAGCTGGTTATATAAACAGAATAGCAATCATCAAATCAGCAGAAACCAAAAATATTATTCTCGGACCATACGAGAAACATATAAAGAGTTAGACTTCAACTTCACGTCATCAATGATTCATGAATCAGAAGATAGCAGTTAACAGAGCTACGTAGATATTACTTCAGGTGTGATCGATTACCATTACAACAAAAATAGACCAATTCATGTTTCTCTGTCAAATTTAACAACCAACAGTGTAGTAATTTCTCAAAGATCTGTTCTCTGTGAACTTCAACCTATTAAGATAGAAGAAGATTTAATGAAAGATATAGAACAACAAGGTGATGTAAGAATTATTATGGAAAAGAACACAATAGATGACAACAAGAAACTTACAGAACAACCACTCCTTTGATTGAGATTTTACCTGCTTTTCACATTTATTGTAGAAGTGACAGAAGACATTGAAGAAAACCTTAAGCACAGATTTAATATAGAGAAATTAGAAAACAACAAAGAGCAGAGCCTTTAATAGAGAAATAGGGAAGAGCTACAATTGATAACAACTTGCCAGATAAAAGCCAATGCCATACTAAAGAAGATTTCTACATGAGAAAACATTTCAGTTCTTTTATGATAAAAAGAGGCATACTTTATGGAGAACGGAAGACATATAAAGAACTCGCATATCAGCTAGTACTACCTACACAATACAGGAATGAGGTGTTAACAGGATTACAGTCATTACACAATCATAAAGGACACCCTGGAAGGGACATAACTATATCCTTGTTAAGAGAGAGATATTTCTGGCCAGGCATGTCAAAAAATGTTGAAAACTGGGTATCGAATTGCGAATGATGTCAACGAAGGAAATCAAATGTAAACACAAGATCAGAACGTGTCATCATTGTCTCAACTTACCCCTTAGAACTAGTTTCAATGGGTTATCTTACATTTGAGACTTCAAAAGGATATGGGAATATTTAGTCATAGCAGACCACTTCACAAAATAAATCAAACAGCCAAAACAACAGCAGAAGCTTTATTTAACAACTTTATAGTACACTATGGAATTCCGACTAAACTACACACATACGAAGGAGCTAACTTTGAATCAGAATAGAGATAAAACCAAGGTTGAAGATAACTAAATTACAATAATGAATAGGACTTAGACCACTAAATAAGACCCTGCCACAGATACATTTTTATCTTTTAACTTCATTTGCAAAAGGAAAAAAAGTAAAAAAGGGGGTCGAACCAGTAAGCGTTGTATTTTAACATTTTATTATATTTTTTGCAGACCTGAATTGGACATTGTATTCTGACACTTTACATAAGAGCTAAGAAGGATGGAGTAGGGTTTCGTTTAGATATTATGATAAACAGGACATTATTACTGAGAACATAACACTCTCTGGAACCAGTATACACGAAAAATCGTATATAATGGACGTGAAGGTAATATCTTTATTTTTACAACCATAATCTTATATAAAGATATATCTGTTCCTATATGAAACGATTGTTTTATAATCGCTTTTAAACATTGATTACTATATATTTTGTTTTATCCGCTTTATATGTAAGAGTAAAGGACATTTTTGAAAATATATTAGTTGTATAGCTAATTTTAAGAAATGCAAACACTGAAAGATTTGTCTCAAACATGCTTCAATCTCTGTCATGACTGGTATGCATGATTTATAAAATCATTACAGGACCCATGCAGTTTAGACTTGTTTTGTACTTGTACTTAGGTCCCAAACATTGTTTTTCGTTTGAGAAATTATGTTAAAAATGTTATCACTTTTTTTCGGCGCCGCCCCTATCCAAAAGATACATCAAGGTGTCAGAGGAGGCATGTGCTCTTTCTCGTTGGGGGTTTGAAGGGAAGAAGTGGCCCCAACCCTCATCGTCAAGAAAATTTTGGATAGTAACAAGCCAAACATGGCCTCAGGTCGATCTTAAGGTAACGTGTAACCAACGCTAAAAAGCCGTTTACTCTATCTCAATCCATTGAGAAGTTGCAGCACATTGAAATCAATTCTGATGGAAAACAATGCACAATAGTGATTTTTGGCAATTTTGAGACGTCCGTCCCCCGGTTGCCATGGTATTAGGAAATTTAAAATTGAGCAGTCTGTTACAAAGGCCATGGTCCTGTCAGTATTGAAGCATTTTTCATAGTTTCATAGCAGTTTGAACATTTTCAATGAAAACGGCCATTTTTCACAATATGCTTATGCGGTAAAAAGTGAAAAGGAGAATGAAACATTAAAAAAAGTAAAAAAGTATAGTAGGTTTGACCGTTTGATCTCTGTCCGTATTTTTACAGTTTTGCATAACATTATTGGTGATAATTACATACCCTCGTGATGTTATTATAATTTTTTTTTCACTTATCTGGTTTCTAATATGCATTTTTACCCTGAGAGGCATGTGTTATTTTTTTTATTATAATACCGAACTAACATTTAAATCTAATTTTTCACTGCATTCGGACGAGTTATACCAGGGGAAAATGCCACAGTGGTGTCCATAACATAATCAAATAGCTAGCATTGTGTCGTAGATAGTACAATCCTGTAAAACAAAATTTCATGAAATAAAAAACAAATATAAATGTTGAGTGTTCTTATCAAATATGCTGTATTTGAAAAGAAAGTCAAATATTATACATTGTTTTGCATTCAGAGGTATAGAGGAAAACTGGAACCGAAAGATGCCTGGACGATTGTTCGTATGGAAGGACGTTTTGAGCTAATTCCTTCTAGTGAAGACAATTTTGATATCCTTGATCCGATCATTTCTAAAGACGTTAATACCATAATCATTGTAGATGTAAATGTTAACGCTTCATTATTCATGTACATTAGCTTAATTGTTAAGGTAGTCTAGTACTCTCCAGGAACGATGGTTAGAAAACTACCCGCCTATATGACTGAAATACTGTTGGAAAAAGGCGTAAAATGAAACAAACAAACAATTAATTGTTAAGACTCACTTAAAACCAATCAAGTACAAGGAAGCGATATCTGATAAAGAACTGACTTAAATAGCTTTCATTATATTTACATCATGCATTTTTTTAAAATGCATATTCGTTTCTTTGTACCAGAGTCATTGTAAAAATGACATATTTACTATTTTGTTTTTATTTTTTGTTTCGTTTTAAGAGGGGTCCGGATTGTAAAGGTCATATTGCAACTTTGCAGCTTTACACTCATGTGACCCTCCGCACGAACGGATACTAGAACTGAGTAGAACCACCGGCCTAATGTAAGCTAGCTGGATAGCTTCATCACATGAAAAAAAATCAAAAGTTCCTGGCGCGATTCAAACCCACAGCGGTGGTAAGGGGTTTGAATTCAACGACCTTAACCACTTTGCCTCGGACGCCCTAGAACATTTCCTAAAAAATAACATTCATATTTAAAGTAAAGATGATGGATATTTTAAGATATACATGTATTCGGATCCATTTGTGGATTCACGTTTCCTGTGGGTATGAATTTCAAATCACTGAAATGACAAGGGAAGGTTCATTATTTAAAGTTTCTTTAAAAAATCCATCGCTTGGTTAATTTAAGTATAATGACCCCAATACTTTGCGGTACAAATGTCTCTTATTGGTGTAAACGCTGTTAAATTTCTTTAAAGCTAACCAATTTTTGTTCCATATATGTACAAATCCTTATTTTATTTACAATGAATTTTATCTAATGGTATTTTTAAAGACTAAATTTGACAAAAAAAGTGATATTATCAACACGTCTACATCCGACCTTAGACTTCAAGTAGAGATGTTTCTACTCAGGGATGGCGTTGTACCTACACACGTCCGTAATGACACTGTTTTATACGTTGATGCTGCTAACCTGTTACAGGTGACCATTTATTTCTAGTCTTTTATAAGTGTGGTCTTATATATACATTGTGAGAGTCTGTAGTCTTATATATGCATTGTGAGAAAATGTGGTCTTATATATGAATTGTGAGGGATGGTGATTATATATATATTCATTGTGGGAGATTATGGATCAATATAATACTATGAAATGTCAGAGTTTGTGATCCTATTTGCATTGTCAGAAAATTATTGTCCTACGAAATTATTGTCTTATTTATGTATTGTGAGAGATTGCAGTCCTATATAAGCATTGTTCAGTTTGCAGCCCTACATTATTGTGAGAGTTGGGGTTCCTATAAAAGCATTTTTTACAGACTGCGTCCTCAAGAATTTGGGAATTGGGGTTTCCTAAAATAAGATTGTTACAAAATTTATGGTCCTACTTTCCCATTGTGGTAGAGGGGGTTGGTCCTATAAAAAGGGCATTATACAAAAAATGTGATTTTTTGCCCCTTATATAAAAATTTGGGTAAAGCCCTAGGGTCCCCATGCTTTGGGTGGAAAAATTATAGTCATATAAAGTTTGTTACATTTTTTTTTGGCCCAATATAATTTCTATTTATTGACGAGATTTTCATCCTGAAATTACACTTATTTGCAAATGTATGTCTCTTTTTGTCTATGTTGCTAAATATCGAGGACTGAGAAAAATTGAGCGCGCTGTCCGCGTACATGTCTAGTTTACTAACACTTTAGTCCATTTATAAATACGGTTATATTGTGTTACCATTCTTATATTTGTATTCATATGGTAAACTCCAAACATTAATTGCAGGTAACGACTGATGTACAGAATCTTTTGCATTCATCTTACAGAGCTAAAGTAAGTGGAGAGGTTTCGACTTCGATGAAAAGAGATGTATTGTAAGTATAGAGAAAGTTTTGTTGCCGCAAAAAATTGTGTTTACTAACTCGTATTTGTTCGAAAATTAAAGTGACGTTATGTCCAATATGGGTTATATAGTAAGTGAACAACAGTACGAAAGTCCTTTCCATAATTCCTTTCACTTTTATAATTATCTTTGTATAAAAATATTTTTAAAAAAACTCGAGTGTTTTAAAACAGATTTCTGAAAGGTTTTTTACCGGGTAAATTAAATTTTACAAAAAAAAAGGGGGGCCCCCTTTTTAAATATTTAAATCCTATTTAGTAAAAATTTTTTAAAATATCATTTTTGGGTAATCATAGAATAATCTTTCGAAAAAAAGGGGCCAAATTCAGCTCAAAATTGACAATGAAGAAAAAAGCATAACGTCACTTTATTAAAAATGAATTGTTCATATAGAAAGATAAAATGATGCTTATATACGGAAATGAAATGTGGCCCAAAAGATAACATTAGAGCTATCACCAGTTAAAACATTACTTATTGAAATGTATGTAAATTATCAATTTATCCAACAAAATAACTTGCAATTACAAAAAGAAAACAATGGTAAAATACTTACTTTACCTCATTGATGTTTTAATTTTCTAAACAATTAATGGATGCTTTTGTTGATAAAACAATTTATTGTTAAATAAACGATTTCAACGATTGGCTTAATAATAGTAACAAAAATAATCTACATCCGTTACGTATGATTTAGTCTTGGCATGACTAGTAAATCACAACGGCATTGGAATGTATGACTACCAACGGGTAGATATTCAGACCCTACAATCAGCGAAATTATAGTGTCAACATAATTTCATAGAGGGCAATTTGTTTTAAATTTTATTGACATTACCTTGAAACATATTGCACAACAGTTAACTATTAAAAAAAAACAAACAAAAAAAACAACAACAACAACAACAATAAACAAAACAAGTTATTGGTCTAAACTACATCAAATGGTACACGATACTTGGAAACGTTTTAAGTCCAGTCAAAAACCCTCAGTGGAGTCCCATTAAGAAGAATTGATATAATATACATGTATATATAGGAGGGTTGTCCGGAAATTTCGTAGACAATGCTATAAAATTAGAATAAGCAGTCATATCAATATGAAGTATTTATCTGCTACATATTTCTGAATTAAAAACATGATAAAAGAAATATTCGCAAAGCGCCGATCACCATGGCAACATGATCAACGAATCACGGAGCACTGTGATGTCTTTACTATAGTTACTCGAATGATAAGTTGTTAAAAATTGTAATTTTAACGCAAACCCTAGTTTTAATCTTGTGAACTCAAAGGGTACTATTGCATGATATTTAGTGAAAGTTATGACGTCACGCGCAAATAAACAGCTTGTTAACGACAGTTGTGTAAATTTTGTGTTGCAAAAATGACGTAAAATTCAGGGACGGAGCAACGTACAGTTATTTAATTGCATATATGCACCAACGCAAATATGGCACCAATTGAGATTTTAATTTTTACTTAAATCACAAAGTCAACCATAAATTGTTAAAGGCAACTTGTGTTTAAATGTCAAACAAGATTAAGAAGCGGTGATGACAGTATATCGTATAAAAAATGCTCAAGACGACAAAAGGTAGCATGGCCAAAATATCGTAGATTGCGTTACAACAATCTTTGAAAAAGACAGACATGTCACACACTGTATGGGAACCAGTCACATCTTTGTTTTTTAAATAAATTGTAGTATATGAAATTCACACAGCAATGACAAAAAGCATAACATGTACTAAGTATACGCCAGACAGACTGGTACCACGGCTGTTGAAATCGGAAGAAATTGAATAGTGGGTAAACGTGAAGTAGTTTGACGCCGTTGACGTTGTCAAAGTGCTCCATGATGATGTATGTAAGTACTGTTAAAATAATAACGTAAGTCACAGTTCAGTAATTTTTGCTAGATATGTATCTTTTTGCTGACAAAATTTGTTCATCGTATGTATTGTTATAGAATAAAAAATGAAGAAGTATTTGTGCTTTCCGGACATCCCTCGTACATACTTCATAGGATGGCAATATCAATATATTAAGATGGAAAACTATCACATACATTTCATGAAATGTGATAAACTTACTCGAAATTGTTCTGTGTCCCTTCTTGCAAGTGCAATAGGCATAAATCAAAGCATTGGTAAAAACTTTACCTTTACACATTAGCTTTCAGTATACTCACAATAAAAACTACTAGCCCACACATTGTAACTAAGGCATTTTTTTTTTTTAAAATGTCATCAAAAGATAAAATTTTACCACAGGCTCGCACATTTATATGGATCTAGATGATTAAAATATGTCTTGTCCGACAAAAAAACATCATAGAGAAGTATTTGCAATTATCATCCTGCTGTATTTTTTAACCGTTGCAATGTTTTTATTTTGTAAATATTGACTTAAATTATAATCACACCCGTTAACTGGTGTTAAGTTGATCAGATGTTGCGGGTAGAGTAGCTGTGCGCTTGTATAGTAACTTAAATTTCTTATCAAAATTGAAAAAGCCGCACTCTACCGACTGAATGAGCATTTAAGCGAAAACAATCTCCTTCCAACTAATCAGTCGGCATATCGCCAGTTCCACTCATGCGAGTCTGCCCTTCTTAGACTTGTTAATGATATTCTTGAAGGCATGGAACACCAGGAAGTCACTGCTATTATTGCTCTTGATCTGAGTGTGGCTTTTGACACTGTCGACCATAGCATTTTACTTGATGTTCTTAAGTCCCAGGGTGGTATATGTGACTCCGCTCATAGATGGCTGGATTCGTACTTAAGACCACGCAGTTGTCGAGTGAACGTTTATTCCAATTTGTCAACAGTGAGAGAGCTTGATTGTAGTGTCCCCTAGGGAAGTTTAATCGGGGCCTTGGCTATATCTGACCTATGCTGGAACGATATTTGACATTGTGTCTCCTTCTATTCCCGTGTTTGGATTTGCCGATGACCACACGGCTAACAAACGCTTTGAACCACCATTCGAAGAAGCGTCTGCAATTGAAGACCTCGAAAAATCCGCTGTCGACACCAGTGAGTGGATGAACGGAAACAAATTGAAAATGAATAACACAAAGACTGAGTTTATTCTTTATGGAAGCCGTCAACAATTAGAGAAATGTAACACAAAAGAAATTATTGATATTTGTGTTAATAAGATCGAATCTCAACATTGTATAAGGTATCTTGGTGCCTTCTTAGACGAATCTTTAAATTTCAAAGAACATATCAAACAAAAATGTAAAATGTTATGCTTAACTATTTTAAGATCAAGAGCATTCGGCAGTATTTGTCTTCTGATGCCACTGAAACACTTGTTTTATCTCTTGTTATATCTCACTTGGACTACTGTAACGTCATATTGTACGGTGAGTTATCTAAACTTGAATGTATAAAAAACACGTGACTGTGCTAAACATGTATTAAATGGATCAAAATTTGATAGCTCCAGCACACTTTTCATTTAACACTGGGGACCCTTAAACCCTATATTTTTAAAAATCCTAGTGTGTATTACAATTGTTTTGTAGAAAAAGACAAACTTTTAATTTTTTTTTGACTCCTCAATTTTAGATCTCGAGTCGCTGTTGGGGGCAAGAAAAACATTTAACAAAAAAAACCTTTTTATATAAAATTTAGTACAATAGTCCCAAAATTTGGAATTAAAATTTCCCCGAGACCCTTAAACAAAGCAAATCTGTAGAAATTTTAAGAGACAATTGAAAACTTATTTCTTTAAGGTTTCTTCTCCCTATTTTTTAAGCACGGATTTTATGGTAAGATATAAACTGTGATGTCCAAAAACTGTAGAATATTGAAATGTGATCAGGTCACATTTTTGTCATGGAATTTGCAAATTTTTAATATCTGTGAAAAAATATGATGTTTTTAGACCCGTTTTGTGTGGGAGGGTAGCTTCAAGAGGTGGCCGACGATTAGGTCATTTCAAAGTCATTTACCTGAACTGTGTTACCGAGCGATCCCCACTTAAAGCAATAAAATATAAATTTTGTAATGTCGTCACATTCTTTCTCAACAGCCCGAATAATGGCCTGGTAGGAGCAAGTTGCAAGTACGAATCTCCTCTTCAAACCAGCACGATTGTGAACTGTAGCGCTGACAGTAGACTAAATAGAAATGAAAATATAAAGATAACGATGTACTACGATATTGGTAGGCAGCGCCTTATTCCTGGAATGGACCTTAGTAAAATGAAGGAAAGCGTAAATGTAAGTTTCTATTTACATTCATTTATTTATTAGCCATTAAACAGGTAGAACCGGAAGTGGTTAGCCTTTGCTACATCCTTAAACTGGTAGAAACAAGACTGGTTAGCCTTTGCCACATCCTTAAACTTCAAAAGCGGAAAGTGGTTAGCCTTTGCCACATCCTTAAAGTGGTAGAACGGAAAGTGGTTAGACTTTGCCACATCTCCTTAAAGTGGTAGAACGGAAAGTGGTTAGACTTTGCCACATCTCCTTTAAGTGGTAGAACGGAACGTGGTTAGCCTTTGTCACATCCTTAAAGCGGTAGAACGAAAAGTGGTTAGACTTTGCCACCTCCTTAAAGTGGTAGAACGGAAAGTGGTTAGACTTTGCCACATCCTTAAAGTGGTAGAACAAAAAAGTGGTTAGCCTTTGCCACATCCTTAAAGTGGTAGAACGGAAAGTGGTTAGATTTTGCCACCTCCTTAAAGTGGTAGAACAGAAAGTGGTTAGCTTTTGCCACATCCTTAAAGTGGTAGAACAAAAAAGTGGTTAGACTTTGCCACATCCTTAAAGTGGTAGAAGGGAAAGTGGTTAGACTTTGCCACATCTCCTTAAAGTGGTAGAACGAAAAGTGGTTAGTCTTTTACACATACGTGCAGTTTGACCAGGCTCTATACTGTTGGCTATTTCATTCAAATTGTCCTCTTGGTAACCCTATGAATTATTCATGAATAGTTCAAAACGAACACGTTCATTTTAGAAATTCCGCAGGTCATGCAACAACGGTGTATGGTCACAAGAATCTATCTGTTAATGTATTTTTCTTCTCCGTTTATGTTTCCCTGCTCGAAAGCAATTGCAAGAATTTTCATTTCCTTTTGGTTGGGTTTTACATCGCATCAGATTTACTGGTGGAATAAGATCTAAGGTGCCCCTCCTTGCGGTATTTCCGGCACGCAAGAACACCTAGTATGTAGAGTCACCGCCATTTCGTTAGCTAGCTGGATAGCCTCCGCAAATGGAAGAATCCAAAGACGCTTAAAGGATTCGAACCAACCGCGGTAAAGGACAAGTAATTTGAAGTAAACATCAACATCTCGCCACGGACGCCCCAAGAATTTCAATAAGAGTCTAATGAATAGAACACAAGCAGCATTACAGCAGACATATGACTTTATACTGATATAATATCTCAGTACATGCCATTTACCATCAAATTGTTTCTAAACTGAGAGAAGAGAATACCTTTTGCGACAAGGTGAGCATTTTTTCCTAACTAATGATTATTGTTTTTATCAAAGCTAAGATTATATTGAATATATGTCTACGAAGGATTGAGCATGAATTTAAATATTTTATTTTATATTTTAACCGTTGAACATTTGCGGCATGTTCAAACTTTGCTAGATATATTACTTGAGTTATAGAGTATAAATTTTCATATTGATTTGATAAGTTGTATTGGACAAAAATACGATTAATAATTTGAAATTAATTTGTTTTCATGTAGCATTCAAATGCATCAATACAGTGTATAAATCGTTTTGAAATTTCATCATTGATAACTTACCAGAATTATGTTTTTTATTTATTTTTTATTGATTTATTTTTATTTATTTTTTATCCTTATATTTAGTTATTTTTTCTGTTTAATGTAAACAAGCAGAGAGCATATTGACATTACTCGTCGAAGTTATATCATTAAAATGATTTTACTCCAAATGCTATGGTTGCTGATGTATTCTATGTCCTATTGTCGCTCTGCGGGGCGCCATGCGAAAAAAACCCCCAAAAATACAACAGAGTAGCCACTTTTTCGCTGTAGATTTCTATGCGTGCTGACCAGGCTAATTTAGACGGTGATACTAGCAACAATGACTTCAAAAGAACAATTTCAGTGAAAATGAAATATGCTGTACATATACAGGCAGAGTATGTTTTTACTATGTATCAAATAATCCAATCGAAAGCCACGTGTGTTTTATCATTTAAGTTTGTTTTTCCATTGTTTCTTTTGTCTTTTAATTGTTTTTTTTTTGTTTTGTTCCATTAGATTTGTTGTCGCCGATTTTCAAACATTTTTCTTTTTATATCCTCTGGATAAGTAACCAGTAATTAGCAATTTATCCCACAAGTGACCGGCTTATAATCATACATGAATGCTGAATCAGTGGCTGGAGACAACTGACCACTAGTCTCAATGTTTTAGATCCTCATCTACCCAATCCACCCCACCCCGATGTTCAAACCAGCTATCCTTGATTATGAAGCTCTCATTTTGAGCTTAGCGGGAGTGTACTATAATTTTGAAGATCGGATAATTATACTTTTATTTTGCGTCTTTTGATAAAATGATCTTTGAAAACTATTTTTACACTTTGAATTCTAATGCATTTTTTATTTTTCATATTCCTTCAGTTAAAATATGCAGGAAATCTTAAATGTTGCTTCCTTTTATTTGTACAACAAGCTATGACAAAACCAACATAATGCGTTTGCGACCAGCATAGATCCAGACCAGCCTGCGCATCCGCAAGTAGAGAAACTGATAGCGAACAGCATGGATCCTGATCAGACTGCACGGATGCCCAGGCTGGTCTGGATCCATGCTGGTCGCAAAACACATCACGTTGGTTTTGTCATGGCGCGGCTCAAGTGCTGAAAGGAGAGACCTTGATCCGAGATAAATGATTGCATTCTATATTTTTCAAGCAAAGAAACGTCAGATCAAGTAAGATACAAGGCTGATGAAAAGAGCACACATATGCTTCGTTTGATTCATAGATACATCGTTACTAACGAAGGACCTAGTTTTCTTCCGAAGACATATGTAAACATAACAATACCACTGTCCAAGGAAAATACAAAGTTTGCTAGAATTGTGGTAAGATCTTATTGGTTTTCTGTTTTAAATAATGACTGTTTAATTACAAGATGTTTGTTTGTTTTGCATGTAAGATTGAAATGTATTTCACTGAGTGAACACCAGATGCAATATTTTCACGAGTGGCATAGGCACTAGTGAAATAGAATAGCTGGTGTTTAAGAAAGAAATATATTTTAATCTTATATGCAAAACAAATAAATTCTCTTTTTATTTCATGCTTATTAAGTGATTTTAAGTATTTTTCACTGATTTTGCCGCGTAACGTCGCGCATTCATCTTTATGCATCATCACATGACGTCGCATCATCAATTTTGAAATATAGTTCTGTTACATTTTAACATGATGTTTGGTGGTATCGACTTACTTTTCCTAAAGAAGCAAAATTTACGTATGACGGCATTTATTTATGCCTGTTATTTCATGTAGTTATGATATTCTTTTCATACGCTTTCATATATTGTCCGGCTACAATGAAAACTATATTTCATAAATTTCACTAGTAGTTTATAAGACATCGTGTCATAAATTTTTACTTCATTAACTGTGCTTAATAAAGTTTGATTGGGACAGTGGAACGATTTTCGAACAATGACACATTTTTTGTTATCATTGTTCGTGCATTTTCCGTCTTTGTTAAAAGTATATGTCACAAACCAGTGCAGTTTTTTCGACTCAATAAACATGCATAAATTATGACGTGACGTCACTTGCGTTATACGAACATAAAAACACACTAAATGTAACGGTTATGTAATAATAAAAATGATGATGATGATAATAATATATTAATAACAACAACAATAATAATGATAATAATAATAAAGACTTATTTAACGAGAGAACTCATTTGAACAACATATCAATCTTCCACGAGGCCCTTAACAAGGAACAATATAAATTTAACATATTCAAACTGTTAAGATATATTAATATTAATACATTCATGAGATTATCAATTTGTATACATCGATGTGTAATAATATCTCAAGAATAAGGTTTCACAGATGTAGAAGACTTGATATAATCAGGAAGGCCGTTCAAAATACAAGATCCAGAATAAACGAAATTTTAAAAAGCGAGTTTCATCAAAGTGTTTTAGAGACCGGAATATTATTGTCTTATGCCTGGGAACTTTAACACTGATGTTTGAAAGTTTGCTTGTAAGACATATATAATAAACCTTTTTTTTTTAAACTTCAACTTTTTCAAATATGTAACCTCTCTCTTCTTATTTGTTAACAGTTTTGACAAACTTTTAATACTTCTATCAACCAAACACTGCCTTTACCTCATATTTATTTTACTCTTCTACATAATGTAAAATTATTTGAAACACATGATTATGAACATGTACATGATATTTCTCTTTAATACTGAAAAGTATAGTCAATAATCTATACAGAACATTTCAGATTTTAAAATATTTATTCTCAACTAAAGCTTTCTCATGTATAAAGCAAATCTTAAGTCAATTCTGCTATGAACTTTGATAACAATAAAAAGCAGAAAGGGACAAATAATAAATCATTTTTGTCAAGAGTTTTAATATCAAGAGTATGATTATGAAAAATCTTGTTGTCTATTCTAGTCATAACCAAATATTAGAAAAAATGTATTGTATAATTTAAAGCTTGCATATGTAAACATTACTCATTCATATTTTGCAGATGTATATAACATGTCTCCAAATATACTGTTAACTGTACAGAAAATTCGAATTGTAAATCATTTATTTTTGTCAAAGCTGTATCATAAACATAGTCAATATTGACTTCATCTTGCTATGAATCCTGATATCAAGAGTACCCAATTTTAACTATTTAAAAGATAATATCTAACACTTACATTTTACTTTAATCTAGAACATGATATGTATATAACTTGCAAGTACATAAAAATTAAAATAAAATATTTACTCTTAAATCCAAATTTCCTATGAGTATAAAAGATCCATTGATGTATTTTGGAAAAAGTCATACTGTACTCAACAGAAATCTTATGTTTACACAAAATAGCCAAATATAAACAATTTTCTAAAGTAATAATATAAGTCTTTTTTATCATGTTTACCGCTTGATTAAAAAACTCATATAAATATTGAATATTGCTATGTTAGTTGAAACATTTTGACTAGCATGAAGCAATAGCAAAGAAAGTCATTAATATTGACATACCTCATGCCAACCATTTGAGTATCATGCTAGCTGCTCACGTTTCCATTCAACCATGCATGTATTTAGAATAATAAATCCCCAAGTTTAAACACGTGATGTTCAATTTTCACAATACGTCATAAAATGATCTAACTCCATCCAAAATATTTTATCCAGCATCTATAATATTATTCTCAATTCTAAATGCGTCAAATTGTACGACCACGAGTGTCATTCAGTACACATTGACAAGAAAAGCCAATTCAACACACCTGTCAAAAATGTGTGTCTATTTTACTTAATAAATCTTGATACTATATATAGATTCATTTAGAGCTGACATTAACATTACCTAAATTATAGATGTTGTCGATTCGATTATGTCCGATTATAATTTGTTTATTAAAAACTAGAAATATCAGAACTTTTTTTGGTGAATGCCTTACCCCATACATAAATCGACTGCTAACGGTCATCATTTCAACTATATCTTTTTTCATAATTATGTTAAACGTGTATGTCATTTCTTTTTTTAATATTTGTGTATCACATGTTTTCTTTTACTTCTCTGGTCTGGGTCATATTTATGTCTACTCACTCATACATCACTTGCATCCTGGCATAACTTAACTATGACTGTAGATATATCAATATATAGAGTGAGAGTTGGATTGTTCGGACCATATCAACTTAAAATGAGTGGGTTCAAACCCTTAACCAACTTCGGATTAGTGACTTGGCTGTTAATGCTCTTGATAAAATCTGGTGATATTCATGTAAACCCAGGGCCTCGAAATGAACACAATCATTCATTTCCAGAAACTGCAAATACGTATTCAGCTTACATATCTCAGTTGTCCATTGTTCACTAAAATACTCAAAGTATAAACAAGAAGTCCGATATTCTCAATTCTGAACTAAATAATTTTGATATTAAAGCTCTAACCGAAACTTGGCTTGACCAACGAACTTCCACTGATGAACTTATCCAGCAAGCAAAGCAGACTCATCTCAATAAACTCGCAGATTCCTTAAAGAACACTTGTGAATTAGACAAAAATTTCTGGCAAACTATCAAACAGTTCATCAAGCCGAATAACACGAACACATGTATTCCTACACTCAAAGACGCATCACATGTATATATAAAACCAACACGGAAAAAGCCAATGCACTGAATAACTTCTTCCAAGCACAAACCAAACTCAGTGATGGAGCCGTGGCCTAGTGGTTAAGGTGTCTGCCTCTCAACTCAGAGATCATGGGTTCGAGCCCTACTCGGGTCACGACCATGTTTCTTTATATGACACCAGAACTGGAGTGACCATATAATGGATGTCAAACACAAAGCTTAGCAAAGAGTTAACATTTTAAGATCATTCAATTTTACTCTTGATCGAAAATCACTTGCAATATTTATTTCATATGTCCTTCATTCGCCCGATTCTTGAATACGCGGATGTTTTGTGGGACAATATCTCTGTTGCATAGGCTAAGGAACTTGAGAGCATTCAAATAGAGGCAGCAAGACTTATCACAGGAGCAACACAATTGGTTTCATTCGAAAAAATCTACAAAGAATCTTCTCTTGTAACTCTTAGAGATCGAAGACTGAAACATAAACTTATTCTTCTTTATAAAATGATACATTTAGAAACACCCCCTTTTCTATCGGACCTCATCCCACCTGTTGTTGGAAACACTACCTCTTACAGCCTTCGGAACTCGGATCATTTGACAAACATACATTGCAATACACAGCTTTTTTTCTAAATCTTTCTTACCGTCAAGTATCCTCTCTTCGAACTCACTTCCGTCTGACATACAAATTGCCTCGTCTGAATCGGCTTTTTAACAAGCTCTGAACAAGGACACATCAAGAACACCCTCCTTCTACTATATAGGTAATAGGGTGTTAGCTAATCAACACGCATGTCTTCGCATGCACTGTAGCTCACTAAAAGAACATCTTTACTACTAAAAAGAAAAAACATTATAGTCTCAGCAGCGTGTGCTTGTGGCGGAGTTGAGGATATAGATCACTTTCTCTTACATTGTCCGATTTACACAAACCAAAGAGCGGATCTACTCAGTAATATTTTACCAATTCACTCAGTTAATTTAGATATCCTTCTATTTGGCAGTCAATCCTAACTCATTTATTTTCACACAGGTATCAAATTACATTTCAAGTACAGGCTGTTTCAAGTGATAAATATCCCACTCTGACATGGACTTGACCCTTGCATAAACTATTGTTCCTTTCTTTCATAAAAACTTTGTCCTTATACGCTATTAAAATGTTAACTTCTGAATTGTATACTCTCCTGACACTTTTAACTTAATTACACTCTACCAACTCACAATTTATTTTCTATTAATTTGTTCTCTGTAGTGTTCTCAAAAATACTATTACATATTGATTGTTACACCACCATGTCAGCTTAGCACGATAGTCAGAAGCGAGGCTTAGCATAAGCATTTAGCTTTATCCTATATTCTGATAGATAACATGTTAAGTACACTTATTAATTTCTGTTTTCATTGTAGTTTTGTTTTTATGTTAAATCTCTCTGTAATTATTTATGTGTATTTTGTATGATACATTATGTAAGCAATTTATTGAAAATAAATATTGTTTAAACCAAGACAAATGGGAAAATAGTCACGAATGGATAAGGGGATTATGATGGTAGACATCGACTATATTTTGAGGCATGTTAGAAAATGCATGACCTATCCATGTAACAGTGCTTGAACTTACTGTGGTAGGAGATCAAACAAGATCATGAAGATGACAAAAAATTACAGACTGCATTGGATCTAACGAAATTTAATACAATGATCATGCTTCAAAACATCATAGTTAAAATCTCCAATAACAGTACATTTTTTGCCCTCTAAATATGATTTTACTCAGGATATAGAAAAATTATTAAGTCACTCAACTTTAGAAGATGGCGGTCTGTATGCATAACACAATAATAACGATTTGCATCCAGGCAATATAAGCACTGCTGTGAGTTAAATCCTATATTACAAGCGAGTGAAAGAAATATTCTTTTTTACCATAAACATTTCTTATTTTATATGTGATAAATAGAATATTAGATTCGTGTAGGCTCATTAAACACGTTAAATAAAAAATAATGCTCGCCAGAGGCTCGCCTAAAATAATTTTATTCAACCTGCACAAACAAATCAGTAATGACCCTTATTCAATATCCTCTATTTTTTAAATAAACTGCCTTATATTTGTTCTGTTGGTGATATGTTAAATACTTGCTTAAGAAGTTTCATAGCCATAAAAACGACAAAAATATTTTTCTAATTTAAAAACATATGACGTTGATAAACTTAATACTATATCAGATTTATTTCAAAATTTCAAGTTTACTTATTTCATCATCAGGAATTGCCTTCGAAATGTGTGTACCACGGATCAATTATAGTTGAGGCTTCTACACAAGCATCAACCACGGCGAAAACAACAAAATTCTCACTTCCTCCTGACACAAAACCAGGTATATAACCATAATAAATTATCATCTAACCCCAAAATCTGGTATATAACCATAAGCAGTTATTATCTTACATAAAATATTGTATATAAACATGAGCAACTATTATCTTACTCGATTTTGGTATTAAACTATAAGTAATTACTTATTGATACTTAACTGGTATATAACAATGATTAATTAATATAATTATGGCATTAATCTTGTTATATATGTTTGATTATTTAGTATACAATTTATGACTCAAAACTTGGTATATAACCATAAGTAATTATGATGTGACACTTCACCTGATTTATAGCTTTGAGTAAATAGATAATTAATTCTGATGTATCATTGTATATCATTTTTGCTCGTATGCACAGATGTCATCTTCTGTTTATGTAATGATCAGGTACATAACTTGAGTTGAATATCCTGGACGTTTGAACTATTATTTGATATAAATACTGTTAAAATTTTAACTTGCTGAACAGCAAATATACTCGTATACTTATACAAATGTATTTTATCTCAAACACTTCTATGATTACAGAACGGAGACGAAGAGAAGCGGAACAAGCGGCACAAACTACAAAAAGTATTGGAGAGAAATCAAAACCAACATCCAAAAATAATATAGTAAGCACTAGTATTTAGCTTTTATAACAATCAATATTTCATTTTTAAAGTGAAATTAAAGCTGAACACCAGATGAGACAAAATATTTTAAGAAAATTAAATCTGAGATTTTTTAAATATTTAAAGAAAAGGAAAATGATTCAAGATTCACGTATTAACTTACGTGGTATATGCGATAAAGGTTTTCTTTTAGTATTCATTACTATTTGTTTCTGCGTGAATAACGCAGTAAGGGCTATATTTTGAATATTTTCTGGGTTTTTTTGGTAATTTACGTGGATTGAAAGTGCCGACTTCAAAGTGTAAATTACTTTTTACGATCTTTCCACAATATTTTACCTTTTGATACATTTTCAAACTTTTTTATGAAAATTGGCAAGAATGTGGAGGTGTGCTCCTTTAAAATTTGTTGTATATGCCAATTCGGTACAAACCTTAAACACGCTTATAAATTTTATCTGGACAAACCCAGTCATCAGTGTGAGAGTAAAACGAATCAAATAACTAATGGCTGAGAAGCAATCAGTGCTGACCGTCATATGTCTTCGTAGAACCAGATAACTCGAGTAGGCTAAGGGTTAAAATGATGTAACAAAGGTCATAGATTTACATGTAGACATTTGTTGAAATATCCCTATCAAGTTAAGAATTTTGCAGTCTTGATATAGCGAGACCGAGCTTGAAGTGCGAACTGCTTCTGAAGATGTTGTGAAAAAATTATATACACTCTATCGCAACCAGATTATACAAAGTATAAGCTAAAATATTTAAAAAAAAAATACGGAGCAGACAACTGGTCCCGTGTTCACAAAGAAAAAACGGGTCAGGATCAGATGATCCAGATTTAATTCTATAATTGTATTGCAAAACTAAAATTGATGGTATTTTGCTAGAATTGAATAGCAAAAAAAAAACAACAACAAAAAACTGTAAACTATTGCTGATTTGTAAAAAAAACCACCGTCTTTGGTAGGCAAAATAACTGACAGATGAGAAAGACGGGATATAGTGAAATGGACTTGACCAAAATTTTGGGATTTTGTCCCGCCTTTCTCTAAAGCCTATAACTATAGAACTGTACAAGCAAAACAGTTTTTTTTGTTAAAATCAGCACAAATTGAGAAGCTCAAATTATTAATCTTCTTATCAGCACAAACTATTTAAACATTGCGTTAAAAAATCAGCACAAATGTTATATCAAAACAGAACACAGGAAATCTTTCCAGCAGCAAATCCATATGTCCTACACATACATATTCAGCCGCACTTATATTACAATTTTATGTTAATACTTAGTTGGCGCCGTAAAATAGCGATATGGCACCTTTTATAGCAAAACAGCAACAAAAACGGGTCCCGAAAAACATGGTGACCCCTCTCTCATAAATTAAACTTGGCCGAAGCCGATGGCCAAATGGGACTGGCAGGACAGCCCCACTGCCAAACAGCGGCAGGAAGGCCATGTCAGAATATGGGGATCCACGCCAGAAGTACAGGTAGGGCCAAAATGCAGGCACTGGTTTCATAATTGTATCAAAAAATGACTCCAAATTACAAGAACCATGGTTGCTGCCCCACTAATATGTGTTCCAGACCAAATCGAATGCCATTGATAAAAATCATGTTACCTGCCTCAGATAAGTGTATCCCATCTGGGACATAATTAACCTTATTGACTTTGAGAAGAAAAGAAGCCCCCACTGTTTTTGATTACCTTTACGGCATAAGTGTTAAACCTTTAACGGGCCGCTAGTTGCCCTTTTGTTTCTTTGCCCCAGTCACGAGGAAGAATCTCTGACCATATAATAGTAACCAACGGCCACTGCTCTCTTATGAAAGTAACCAGTCATGTAAGAATGTCTTTGAGTTCTTTGATTGGCTTGTTCTTCAAGTCATTACCACCCACATGTAGAATCAAGTACTGAGGTAGATCACCCCATAAGTGTACACAGTTTTCTTCGTGTCCTACTTAAACCACTATAACCCTGCCACCATTGATAGGCCCTTAAACCTAGACTGCTACCTTCTGGTATTTGCCTTGCTACCAGAAAAACCCTCTTTATAGTGGATGACCCCCACCAACCATACAACAGGTGAACCTGGAATACCTTGGAAGCTGTTAGTTTCCAGCGTCAATATATGAAGGGGAAAATATATTATTATATACATTTATATACATATAATTTCATGCACTAAAAACTAGAAAAAAATACTGAGAACCTACTTTATAACAAAAATCATGCATTATGTACACGTTATGCAGGCTTAAACTGACTGAATATATGTTTTGTACGCAACAGAGGACCATCTACCGGACTACTTAATTTGCCCTACTGACCATCCTCATATTGCAGCACAAGAAGCTGCCCCCCCCCCCCCGAGCGGAAACTGAGGACTGCCGAAAAGGGGTACCTAGTCAGGTGATGACAATTAAAGTGACAGAACAGTGGTCCGGGAATACTGTGTCTGTATTTTATATATCTTTTTAAGATGTCCTATTGGACACAAACTACTATCTTGCAACTTTAAAATTTTTATCGACGCCCCCTTTCCCATTTGGTCTGCCTTTGAAAACCTTAAGAGAAGAATTACATGTCCATCTTCAGGACCAAAAGTTATATCCTGTATGCCTAGGATCTTATGCATATTTATGTCAACCTTTTTATTGGCTGTCAACTCCCCTACCCAAAAAACCCCAAAGTATGCTACTGTAAAACTGCAGAGAAGAGATTAACCTCATAAGTGTCTCGGCATACTGCTTAAATCTTAGTCAGAATGCTTTGAAGTAACTCCAATTTAATAGGAAGGCGTGCCTTCTTACCTTTGGCTGTTCGACGCAAGCCTTCTAAGACCATATTAACTACGAAATGTTCATAAAAAACCCTTAGTTTACACTGAAAGCTTATAGCTGTCCTAAAGCTAAAATTGCGTAATGACATTGTAACCTCTTGAATAGCTGGTGGCAAGAGCTCTGGCAATCTGTAACCCTTACGAAAACGGTTAAAACATGCGAGCCTAATATTGTATGCCTTAATGGTATTTTGCGCCGAAGAAGCGCTCAACAATCGTCTAGTTGTAGATCAAACGGAGCAACTGAAGAGGGGGGTTCGAACGGTTCCCGGTCTGATTTGGGTGCCATCTGCCAAAAACGTTCCCATTGTCGACAAGAAATAGCATCTGCTATAGCATTGCACTTTGAATAGATATGGACTACCCGAAAAATAGTGTTCAGCTTCATACATTTAAGCACAAAAAACCTGATCAATTGCATAAGTCGTTTAGATTTGGAAGTCTGTTTGTTAATAACCTGCACTAAGGCCTCGTTATCAATGAAAAGAGTAATTTTCTTATTTGCAAACCGCTCCCCCACAAACAGAGTGCCAAAACTACTGGGACCATTTCTAAATATGAAAGATCTTTCAGCACTGAATAAAAGACCCATTGGTGTGACCATGGTAAAGAAAAACCAATGCCCTTGAAAAAAGCAAGCTGTCCCTAAATGAGCTGATCCTGCTGCATCAGTAAAAAGACTCAAATCATTGCTTGTGAACCAAGCTTTCTCTGGAATATACGTAATCCCATTGAAATTCTCTAAAACATTAAGCCAGACCGATAAATCTTTTTTCGTAGCGCGTAAAACCCTGAGCATATGATGGGGCTTTTGGGGTGGCATCATAGCATCATAGAACGACAGAGAAATGCACGACTTGATCTAATGGCTTGGCCAAATAAAATGATCTTGCCTTCTAGGCTCTGCAGCTTACGTAATGAAACCTTCCGTCTATTCAAAAATTTGGAATCAATAGCGTAAGTTCGAATATTTTGTGGCTTGGTATACGGACAGACATTGCATTTGTGTCTATTTCCAGAAACAGAAAGCTATAATTGTAGTAGGATTGACTGATTTTTCAGTAGCCATAGGGACACCTAAATCTTGACATATTGCCCCAAAGGTAACTAGCAAATTCTGACATGAGTCTGAGTTACCACCCCCTGCAAATATAAAGTCACCAAGAAGGTGAGCCATAGTGTCCGATCCTGCTTTGTGGCAGCATAACCATTGTAACAAGAGCACTGCTAGGCGGAGCATTATATACCCGAAAGTGTTTTTTTCTAATAAATTAAATAAAGTATTACCTCCTCCAAATAGCAATCCTCCTATAAAGTTTGAATATTGAGGGCCAAATGGAAACTGTTTTCATTTTTGAGGTAATAGATACCTTGAACTTTGACCTTGTGACCCCAAAATCAATAGGGGTCTTCTACCCAATATGGACAATCATCCTATGAAGTTTTAACACTATAGGCCAAATAGAAATTAAGTTATGTTCTGGAGACTGTTTTCAGTTTTAAAGAAATAGTGACCTTGACCTTTGACCTTGTGACCCAAAAATCAATTGGGGTCCTCTACCCAATATGGACAATCATCCTATGAAGTTTGAATATTGTGGGCCACATGGAACTTAAGAAAGGCTCCGGAAACTGTTTTCAGTTTTAAAGTAATAGTGACCTTGACCTTTGACCTTGTGACCTAAAAATCAATAGGGGTCTTCTACCCAATATGGACAATAATCCTATGAAGTTTGAATATTGTGAGACAAATAGACCTTAAGTTATGCTCCGGAAACTGTTTTAAGTTTTAAAGTAATAGTGACCTTAACCTTTGACCTTCTGACCCCAAAGTCAATAGGGCATATAAAAATGTTGAGAACTTCACAAAATGGTTTGCGCTCTGACTTTGACCCATTGGTAAAACTTTATCTACATAATATTTACCATCGGCTTTGATACCAGGCAAAGGAAAATCTTTTACCCGTATAGGTAAAATTCTATAAGCTGATTTAAGGTCACGCTTTGCAATCAGGTCCCTAAATCATAGATCATTTCTGTAACCTTGTCAAAAGATGTATATTGTACTTTACAAAACTGATTATGAATCACGTCATTAATACTTGCACCCCTAGGGTAAGAGAGGTGCGTAATCATTCGCCAGCCTCCATCAGATTTCGGCACCAGACCTACAGGAGATACCCTTAAATTTGGGTAAGGGAGCTTGTCAAAAGGACCTGCTAACCTATCCAGTTGTATTTCTTTATTTATTTTACCCATTAACTCATCTTTATGATCAAATGCGGATTTCAGATTTCGACATTCAATTGATGCTCTAGGTCTTGTGTATTCAATTTTAAAGCCATACTTAAAGCCCAAAATAAGTATTCCAGCATCGCTGCGGTTAGTGCATGTTTTTAAACATTTACATTAACAGAGAACAGCCTAAATGTCAAACACACATTTGATTCTCAATGCAGTGGCGATTAGTGCCTAGGCTGGGCTGACAGTCTAGGTCTGAAAAGTTGCCTAGGCAATATTCTCTGTAAGGGCTGCCTTAGCTGACTAAATGTTGACTTAACCCCCCTTGGTCTTTGAACAACCCCAGTGCCCCCTGGCCTCCAACATGCTTGGGCTGAATGGTTCCCGCTACAATTGAGACAACAATGACGATAAGACCAAACAACACAAGTACATGATCTTAAATTAAAATCGTAGCACTTTTTGTCCCCACTTAAATTGAATAAAATCTTGGGCCCATGCAGAGCAACCATAGCTCTTGATCAATAACAGTAAAGTTCAACAATTCTGATGCTGGGTTTACAGATAAACGGAGTCTAAATTGTGTATCGTAACTTTGCCACCCCAAACCTACATGGCGCTTTACAGCATAGCGAGTAACAAAATAATAAAATACTTCAATATTACCTGTGTTGCTGATGGGTGGGCAGACAAATAAATGCTTGCATAAATAAGGAAAGCGTCAGACCATTCCTCAATATTACTTATTTTGTTATTTTGCGTAGCTTGTGCCATTGTTACATGGCTGGCAGGAGATATAGTGAGTTTAGGACCAAGGTCCTGGGTGGCGTTCGCCTTTTGCAAGAAAACCGCTAAGTCAACATATTGGCCTGATGTCACTTTATCCCGGACTGTCTGATGGACTGCATACCCCAAATTTGATCTAACTGAAGGGATAATTCCAGGTTCAAAAAGTACTACCCTCAGTCAGACATTAGCGTCTGAACTTGAAGCAGAACTAGTAAGACCAACAGGTGGCGTTGGCTGATTGATCTGTACTGGGCCTGGCACTTTTAAGCCACCAACAGGGACAGAATTCTGGGATTTTGTTTGGCTACCCACCGTTTAGCACGGGATTCGGGAACTCCTTTATCCACTAACCGGCTTGGGGCTTTCCTTTTCCTAGTGGATTGTGAACGTCTCATTTTTGATCAATGAAAAAGAAAACAAATGAAGTCATAATAAAGAATAATATTTTGATTTGGTGCCTGTTATTACTCTATTTAATTATTCCCGTATTATATTTTATTAATAATGTACATGTTAACCACAAAATTGCAGTCTGTGAGTCATGCAAAAAAACCGCGCCACGGCCCACGTGACTTCAATTTTACCGAAAGAAAGAAAGAAAGGCAATAAAAAAACTCAATGTAGAACAGGTTACATACATAATATGATTTACCATTAATACAACTGAACAGGATTATTTATATTATCAATTGCCTATCAAAACAACCCTTATATCTTTCTAAATTAAACACTGCTGAAAAATCCTGCCTCTTTGGATGCCGAAAATTCCAGAAAGGTCGTGCCATAAAAATATCTTGCGCGTAATATTCACATGTTCATCTTTTAAAGGATAGTTTGACAAGTTTCTGAGGGATAGTTCTTTACAATCTCGTAAGCGATGAAAACAGAAAATTGCCCCCAAACAAACAAGTGCTATTCTAAATAATAGCCCTCCTTATTTTGGGATAAAATAGACGAATTTTAAAACAAATACAAACATAATTGGTTCAGAATAATAATCACTTTTAGGATCAAGATCAATATTCGGACCATATATTGCAAAATCAATGTACATTTATTCTAAAACACCATAAACATTTTATTTGAAGTCCAATTTTATCAAGTGAATATGAAATAGTTGATATAATTATGTAAATAAACAATGGGAACTATTTGAGTTTTAAATTTGATCCTGATTTTTACCCTGATCTTTAAATCTGAGTGAACAAAGCGCCAGATATGTAAATGTTTGAATTTTTAAGATGTGCAACGACGACTATTCTTGTGAGGTGATATATTGTGAAGTACTAAATCTGGAACACAATGAACAACACATCATCGATATCAAACTGGATGTTTTTGAAAAAGAACTTGCCAAACAAAAGGTATGTTTCAAGCACATTTCTTTGGTAGTACCTAATTTAGTCCTATTATTTTTAATTGGTTTGTTGTTAGTTGGAAGGCCTAAATATAATACGGTATTTATAAGAGCGTTACTACATTGTACTTCATAGTTCATACAGTTTTGTACGGTAGTTGATTTATGCCATGTCGAATACTAGCTCCGCTGGGCGCATGACGAATGCACAAAAATACGTCAAAATGACCACTTTATCGAGTTTATTGTTTCCGCGGATCGAAAGTGCGACATATGGTCACAATGCCGTCTTTTCGTGTTTCCGTCTGGCGTCCTGCGGAGCAAAAATACGACTTAGTACAAGCCAGTCACCATAGTTTTGTCTAATGACATCCTACGAAGACATTCTCCTTGATAATGAGTCTACCGGTATGAAATCGGTAGGCTACAAGTTTAATACTACCGCGCCAAAATATCCTAAATAAACTTTCCTATCTTCCATTCTTAGACAAAACTTTCATAATTTTCAAAACAAAAAAGTACTGACTAAATAGCGAACAATGCAGAACACTGATAAGATTTCCTTTTCTCCAAAGTGCCGGCTGATCTAGGTCTGAACTTGTTGTACCGGTAAATTGAAGTTTATGACAGTATGTGTATTAACCCATTCTGATAGAATAGCACCTTCATTTGTGAAAGATTTAAAATGAAGAAAGTGGAGACATAATGTTTCGTTACATCTTTGTATTGAATTGTGTATCACTTGTTTTATAAAGGAATTCCTTGAAATACATTACGCAACAAACGCAACCGTTACAGATCCATTTATTTGGTACGGTGGAAAAGTTGTTCCGTGGGAAAAAACTGTATATGCTGAGGTAAATTTGGAATTGAGATACGTTTGTCATAAAATATGTTGGTACGAAGTATGTTCATGATGTTAAACATCCATGATAAAATCAGGAAAAATATTTACATTTTACTTCTAAACTTTGAGTATTATGCTTGTTGCGATAAACCCATGTGAATTGTGTTTTATTAAATGAATACAATAATATTTTGAATGTTGTTCTTTTTTCTTAAAAACAACTAAGGCATTGTGTCCGTCAAAAATTAAAGAACTGAACAATCAGTTCAACTGTTAGTATTTTTGTTTTGAATCTATACATATTTTCGTTATAAATCTGTACATATATAGGGTTCAACAGAAGGACTTGATCAAGTTGTGACTTTCTGTTATATGTAGAAATACTCGCTCCCGTGACATGTATGTGTCAATCAGCTCTGTACTTTAAAGATTTTATTTGACAAAACCTCGCCTTTTTTTCTGCTGCAATATTGAAAACAAATTATTTGCATTTAATAAAAAAATTGTGGACGACGATTGTTGGTTGTCCGTCCTGACTTCCTCCTACCGGGTTTTCTTTCGTCCGTTTGTAACAATTTAACAACGGAATAAAATCTTTACTACTTCAGTCATAAACATCATTTAACTTCATATGTGGTTACATCGCATTGAGAAGAAATAAATTTATCAAGAATCATTAATCTTCTTCTCTTTGCAAAATATTTGAATTATTGCTCTTTGAAATATTTCATGCTTATTCCGGGGGCATAATTCAAGACAACATCCGGAACTTCATTAATGCGTATAATTTTCTTCAAACTAAAATATTTACTTGACTCTGTTATTTATAATATGTCATTATGCATGTTTCAAATGTCACATAGAACTGCAGTTTTTAACATTAAGTACATATACAAATGTATATTTCACAACATTACAGAATTTTATTACGTTACACTATTTTGTCTGTTTATTTGAATATAATATATCTTATAAACACTGTACATTAATGCAATACAGCGATGTAAATCAATGTATTCCAGAAATGGACAACATTTGTTGTAGAACCTTCAACTGTTGTATTAGAGGTGGACATTTGGATAATTATAGGAAGTGCTTTTGGTGCCCTCGCTTTTCTTATCATTGTTATCATAATTCTTTGGAAGGTAGGTCATTTTTGTAAATCTTGGTGATTTCTGGTTAGTTATCCAGAAAAAAAAAACGGTTAAGTGGATGGACTGTCGAGACATGACCAAATTATGTTTTAAATCGGCAAAACATTCAGAAAAAAAGCACACACACACACACACACAAATAAGAGGTGTGAGATTTGAGTGTTTTTTTCTCAAATTTCAAATATGTTTTGTGTTAATTATGATATTAAACTTAAAGTTGAATATGTTATAAGAAACCAGTGATCGGCAGTTAAAACAAACCATAGTAAATAAAATATATAACATATCTTTGCAAATATTACAGTCGTCTCGTGGCATGTTTGTACTTTCAACAATTTATTTGACAGTCTCGCCTTTTTTCTGCTACCATGTTAAAAATAAATCATTTGCAATTAATAAAAAATTGTGTAGGACGATTGTTTTAAACATAATGTATCTTAAAACTTTACAATTATACTAAATATTCAGTAGATTTACCAAAGTTTCATTAAAGCTTAGGATAATAAAAACAATATAGTGTATTTGCAGTGTGGATTCTTTGTGCGGAAGAAACACAATGAGGTTCAACAATGGAAGCGCGCCAGATTGTACATCCATTAGCATATCAGATTGTCAAATAACGAAAAACAAGCTTATACTACAATGGAGGAAAAAGAAAGTTAAACAACTAGTTTGCATGTACATTTATTACGTCAGTTAAAATGCTAGTCTTAACATTCGCCTTACTCGAGTGGTTTTGTTTTAATTTGGAAAAAAGGCTTCGTAAATAAAATGTAGATAACATTTTGTAAAGATAATTATTTCTTGAGCAAATGCGTCGACTGGTTAAAGATCCTGTATGTTTTGTGATTAATATTGTTACTGTGTGTATACCACACTTGCAAAAATTATATATGTATATAATTATGCAAATAAAACAATTTTCAAACATCAAAAAAATGTAAAATGAGTAATGCAAATAATTGTGCACATTATAATTAATCAATAAATTACATGCATTCATTTCGTATTGGATTCGACTTCGAATTTATAGAAAATAAATTTCTAATTACCTCCCTTTATTTACATGAAATGCTAAATTCGGTAATATTTTTATAAATAATTCGGCAATATCTTTATAAATAATGCTTATTTGAACTTACAATATTGAAAAATCTTAATATGGGCATCATATTTATGAAATAAAACCATGACAAAAAATGTGTTACAGGATCTTTAAAGTATTGTGTATGTTCGAGCAATAATTTGAAACACTTAACCATACATTTCTTACCCAGCATGTATTATTTCTGAAAATATGTTTTGTGTTACTATATGTTTTTGCTTGTATCTGTGGAATCAAGTTTTGCCAGATGGACTGAGCTCATTAAATGGACTCCATTTAGGCTTTACGACAAGAAGGGACTGAAAATAATTTTCCGAGATCAATGTTCCATTTGATGTAGGTCTAGAAAAATAACCTGTCTGCTAAATTTCAGATCATTCGGTTACTCCGTTTTTTTCCTGAATAATTATCCTAATTTTGAAAACGACCCAAAATTGAAAAGCGTTGCAACGCTTTTAACTCAAATCGGGCTGAGAATAGCACAAAAGTACGAGTTTAATTTTATTTCTGAGTATGCTTCTTAATTATCGTTTGCATCTTTCTGTTTTAAGTGTCCGGATTTATCTATGTATTAAGTAATTCAAATGTTAAGATTGTAGGCTTTTGGACCTCAGTGGAGTCCCCGTAAGGTGTGGCGCACTGTTTTAAAACCATTGATCTCTGAAATATTGTCTAAGTAATTGTCCTTTGTATTTTTTCACATTAATTTTATTCTTTTTCGGTAGCAAATCTGAAGAAGTATAAGAGATTCATATATTGATAGATCTTATTAAAGTAAATCCATTTTTCAAGAACAATAAACCTGTTTTTGCATCGTTTTGGAGTAATTGTCCTTTGTATATTTTATACTAGTTATTGCTCTTTTAATTAATTTATTTCTATTCCTACTTTTAACACGATTGAATCGTAAAATTGTAATATTTTAAAAGTGTGACCAAAAGAAACAAAACACGAAACGCTGATTTGACCATTCATGTTAATAATCAAAACTTAAGAACAAAAACTTGTTTATAGATTATGTTGTACAACTCTATAATCATAAAAAATATATTTTTGGAAAAAAATCACCTCGTATTGACTTAGTAATTTTACAAGTACATGACATATATTGCATTTGTCTGCATGCATATACATATTTTATTAGTGGTTTGAGTCGAGCCTCAAGTTAACATAAATGTGCTAAACAATTTCTATTGATTGTTTTTTTAAAGGAGTCTGTAAGCCCAGACATAGATCTTGTGAAATTGAGATACATTTTTTATGGCGCGCACCAACACAATTTAGGTCATAATGGCGCTGAAGCAAGAAAGATGATTTAGTATATATCGGGTGTGACAAATTAAGAGCAACAGGAGTCATATCACTTAAACTGCTGGAGCTAAGAGATGCATAGACTACAGTTATTCAAACCCATTTAGGATACTCTTACGATCACGCAGGGATAAATGGTGGCTACAGTTCTGATGCCTCAACCCTTAAAGGCAACCCCTCAGCCACAAGGGGGGAGGGGGTGAGATACATGAAACGCACTTTAAAACTAACACACTTTCTGTAACACAAAGTTTCCAGAAACATTATCCCAACAAAAGATTATCAAATAGGAAACAAAAATCAACTGATTGATATATACCTGAATAGAAATGATACAGAAATGCGCCATGAAATTCATAAAGTAATACCGAGGTTTGGACGTTAAGTTGATCTTCTTTACTCAAATCGCGTTATAAATGAATGTTTAAAATCCCCAGAATATTTGTCCATATAGATAATATTAGAATGCAGTTTTGAACGTAAATCTATGACCGTATGTTAAGCTACAGTCTCACTTACATCCCGACAGAGCCCCAGTAGACGTCCGGGGTGATCCGGGAACGACCGGGAACAACCGGAGTACATCCGTAACTCTGCCGGCAACGTCCTGGATGATCCGGGATGATCCGGGAACATCCGACATTCGACCCCGGATGGAATAAAATATTTAATATCACCGGGCTGGTCCGAGAAGGTATAGCTTTGCCGGCTTCATCTTTAGCTCTGCCGGGAACGACCGGGGTTATACCGGGGAAGCACCGTAGCTCTGCCGGCACAAACCGGGGATGATCCGGGGTATGATATAGCCGGTAGAGCTACGGTAGAGCCCCGGAAAATGCCGGCAGAGTCCCGGCAAATACAGGCAGAGCCCCGGATGAGTAAGGTTGAGCTACGGTTGATCCCGGTAGAGCCCCGGCAAAGCCCGGATCATTTCAAAAGAATAACGACAATTTGCGATGACTGCACTTGCTGGTATTAAAACCCCTCACATTTCCCTTCTATCCAGTATGACATAAGGATTTTTCAGAAAATCATCATGAATTACTATTCTGGAACAATAGATATTATATTAAATAAAAATTATGTATCAATGTTATCATTTTCGGGCGTTTTCAATCCACCGGGGTTCTACCGGGGCTCTGCCTGGATCGTCCTGGGCTTTGCCGGGGCTCTGCCTGGATCGACCGGGGCTCTGCCTGGGTCAACCGGGGCTCTTCCGGCGTCATCCGGGAACGACCGGGGAAGCACCGGCATGAACCGTAGCTGCACCTGGGCTCTGCCTGGATGATCCGGAGCGCATCCTGTGTGGTTAGTTGAGAACTACCGTAGTGCTGCCGGGGTAAGTGTGACCGCAACAATAATTTCACCCCGGATCGTCCCGGATCATCCCGGTAACTTACCGGGATGATCCTGGGCTCTGCCGGGAGTAAGTGAGACCGAGGCTTAACATGAAACTAAAATGCAGTGTTATCACCGAGTTATTTCTTAACACATCGTGTGACAAGAACAATATTCAGAAGTTACAATAACAAACATGGAAGATAGTGTAAAATGTTCACTTCCTGCGTACTTTTTCTGCCCCATAGTTCATACAAAATTTTTTTAACCTGACCCAGGTGGGTAAAGTTATAAACAACACGTCTTTTTTTTATATGTATTTCATTCTGTATCTGGGACTGCTTAGTGCTTTCATTTTGAGGACATTAATAGGAACTTGAACTAAATGCTCATGCATTTTTACTTAAATAAGTAAATGCGCCGCACCTTTACTTAAACACATTAGATATGTTTTATTTATTTCCAACAATATAGTAAAGAAGAAATATATCAATCTCTTACATAAATGATATTGTCGAATGTTTTATGAAAGTCTTAAATTCTTTTATATGCATATTTGATTAAATTAATTGATATCTATTATAACCGACAAGAGAAAAGAAACAGAATGCAACAAAGTGCGAACCCCTGTAGTTTTGCATTACATATCATTTGTAGCTGTGCTTGAAATTATGTATCAGATTTTTGTTTCTGAAATTATGAATAAATTCCAAAATGCGAAAAAAATCGGGTTAATGTCTTTCTTAACAGGATCCTTGCACGTGAAGACCATTCAGGTGTATTTTCAATAAAAGCAGTATTAAAATAGACACCTTGATGTTAACATAAAAGGTGAATAATTGAATGACTAAATGAATCGAGAAATATTCATTATTTGAAAAGATTGAGACTTAATATATGATAGGATATTAATAACAGGGCCGGTACTCTATTTGACTGCAAGAGTTATTTTCAACAGCGTACATATTTAGATCGGTTTCATGGCAACGTCATAAAATGTAACTGTTACATACGGAAAATTATTTTGAAACAGATTCATTTGGAATATGCTGAATAAAATATGCTTGCCATAGGCCTAGAAGATATAATTTTATTTCTATTTAATAAATTCAGTCAGTATAAGATAGAGAATACGATACTACTGAGTGTCTGATACTACAAAAAGGTCAGGTCAGTCCAAGGAAATAAAAAGAAGAGCTCAGCAGAGCCAGTCGCCAATTTCATTCTTTCCGTGCCAAGTCTACGGTGGCACAAAGGTGACATGTGTGTGTTTATCTCGTGGCCACGAGATACTATGTCGTGGCTACGAGTTACTAAGTCGTGGCCACGAGTTACTAAGTCGTGGCCACGAGATAGCTAAGTCGTGGCCACAAGATACTATGTCGTGGACACGAGTTACTAAGTCGTGGCCACGAGTTACTAAGTCTTGGCCACGAGATAGCTTTGTCGTGGCCACGAGATACTATGTCGTGGCCACGAGTTACGAAGTCGTGGCCACGAGATAGCTAAGTCGCGGCCACGAGATAGCAAAGTCGTGGCCACGAGATACTATGTCGTGACCACGAAATAGCCAAATCGTGGCCACGAGATAATTAACCAATTAGAATACACTATATATATTATGAATTTTTTAAACTTTACAACTTACTTTTACATGTAACATTAATCTTTGAAAATACTGAAGATATTTACTTTGAAATTGTCTTTTGGATCATATTAGAAAGTCACCTTCCAAGGCCCATCAGACATTAATTTTGACTATAGCTCTTTGTTGGGACAATTTTGTGATCGAATTGGACCTGGACCCCAAAATCAATAGAAGTTATCTGCTGGTCATGAACATACAATCATCATACCAAGCTTGAAATTCCTAGGCTTAAGCATTCTTTTGTTGTTGATCGGAAACCGTTTTTACCTACAAGATCAATGTGTCCTTGACATTTGACCCCTTGACCCCAAAATCAATAGGGGTCATCTGCTGGTCATGAACAATCATCATACCAAGCTTGAAATTCCTAGGCTTAAGCCTTCTTTAGTTATCACTCGGAAACCGTCTTTACCTACAAGTTCAATGTGACATTGACCCCATAATCAATAGGGGTCATACCCTGGTCATGAACAATCATCATACCTATTGCAAGTTTGAAGTTTCTAGGCCTAAGCGTTCTTTAGTTATCGATCGGAAACCATTTGGTCTACGGGCCGACCGACATATAAATGCAAAGCAATATACCCCCACTTCTTTGAAGGTGTGCATAATTACTAAATTGAGACCTAAAGTATACAAAAAGTGGAAACTTAATGTCATGTGATTTTACTATATTTGGAAAATTAGTTTAGCATATTTCCTGCAAAATGGTACACATGTCTGTGTGCACATTGGACTTTTTTTGGACTTTATCAAATACATAAATTGAAACTGTCAATGAGCAGCTGGTATTAGGCAGTGAAAAGTAGGCTGTCGTTTGAGGAATTCTGTAATTTATCGATTAATGTTGTCCTCGTCAGTCGTCAGTGTCGTCAACTGGTAAGTTTTCTTGTTATTTAATTGTCGACTGTTATGAGTGAGTAGGCCTGTGAGTAGTGAGTAGGTCCTTGAATGAGTGAGAAGGTGGGTGATTGAGTTAATGAGCGAGAATATTGATCAGTGAGTCGGTAAAAGAAAAGATTAATTAACCAGTGGTGAAATCTTAGTCAAAATGAGGCATAAACTTGTGATATGACTTCAATATTTTGACAAACTGTGACATTGACATTTAACCTGTAAATGGGTTTGGCAAAGTGCATCTACAAACAAAGTTTGAAAATCGTTAGTCAATGCACTTTAATTTAACAGCCAGTTTTTTTTTTTTACATTTTCAACCTGTCACCGGAGGCTGAAATAAGGCCCCATTTTGTTTCGACATTGCAAACATTTTTTCCACCAGCTGCCAAAAAGTATTGAGCTGCTTAACTTGTAAGAAAATCTGAACTGTTTTGACTTATTATACACATGTTATAAAATTAAAGTCATGTATTTGGTACTTTTTTTGTTAACTCTTTTTAAAGTCTCAAATTTCCCAACATGTCAAATAATTTTTCCCAACTTTTCCCAAAATAGCTAGAAAAAGCTATGTAATGTTATTTTTCTCAATAACAACAATATAATGTCCTTATAGGCACCTAATTGATCTGAATTTTTCATGTAAATCATAACAAATTAAAATAAATATAACAAAATTCTGATAATGAAAACATTGAAGTATATTATCAATTATTGCACCATTTGTTTTTCAATATAATATCATATTGTAAAATAAATGAGAATCATAATTATAAAACAAATTGTTAAGTCACGAAGACAATTTCTGTGCCAGAGTTATTGCCCCTGACACTTTTATTTGTTCCATGAAGACAAACGTCTGTTGCATACTCTGAACCTATCATGCATATGAACACACAAGTTTTGCCTGCAGTACTTTTTGCTATATCAACAGCAGTTTTGAATTTCAGCGTCATCCCTCCAGTCACATCCGTACCTTCATTGGTCATCAATATATCACCACATTCTTGTCCTGAATCACTCATCTTGTTTTTACCCTGGTTATCAACTTTTACAGTGTGCAGTAATTTCGCTTCTGAAACGAAAATAGACATCAATATTAATTTTGAGAGTGAAAGCTGGCATGATCTTTCCCATATGATATTAAACAAAAAGCTAAGCACATGTTGGCCTTTATTCCTCACATTATAGGTTATAAAGATTCTTGACAGGTTATATGGCCCTTTATAAATGGCTATGTGCATATATAACCCGAGCCACTAGGAAAGGTTATATTGAAAACAACCATTTATAATATTTACATATGGTCATATAACTTGTCAAGAATCTTTATTACAGCAAACTTCCTTAAAGGCACATAGTGCCTCAGAAATCCATTTTTTATTCCTTAGAAATGTCAAAAATGTGTTAAATAATGTTTTAATAATGGATTTAGAGTATGTTAGATGTTGAACAACTGAGTTGCACTGAATGAGCAGTAATGTGTTGTTACGTTACACGCCCACTAAACGGTGGCTCCTTCACATTTTGGTGATCTGTTTAAATGAGAGCCATCGACACTTCCGTTGCAGAGCCCTCGATGAAAACAAGTCTGAAAGAGGTACGTAATTTTAGTAAAAATATCAATTTAAAAAGATCATGCTTGTTTTTCAATCAAAGCACTGAAAGTACTGTTGGAAGGAAATTTTCATAGAAATTCCCAATGTGTGTGAATTAAAAACAAAGGAATATGTGCAAGCTTCAATCTACAGCTTGCTGATTTGATGACACAAAATGTGACGTCATTGTTTCTGTTTTTGCACTACTCATGTTCAGTGGGCTGATAACTAGTTCTTGGCCCAGGGCCCCAAACCCATAAGTTGTGACACTCATAATCAGTTGAAATCATAGGCAATTCTGTTTCTAATAAGTGAATTAATAGATAATACTACTGCATTATGAACACAAAGAACCACTCAGTTTGACCTAAATCGGCCATGACTTATATAACTACTTCATAGGAATTCAAGACCATGCCATAAGCATTATTTAATCATAGTTAATGAAGAGACTTTTTATTTTAAACTCAAGGACAAGAAAAGCTCATCATGTGCTTACATGTGTAAGTTCAAACATGACTAATTGTGTTTTAGTATGAAATTGATGTACATGCTGTTAAAGTCATAGCAAAACAAAGAACAATGATTTAAAGTAAACTTTTATTGTCAAAACTTGCATAAAAGTAAAAATATATGTGATATAAAAAATAAATGCTTAAATATATGGAGATAATGAAATTTAGTTTGTCAGATAAACTGTGTAAAAGGAACTCCACTGAGGTTTTTTGACATGATGAGACTGAAATTTATTTTCTAGATTAATGTACCACTTGATGTATATTTTGACCACTTATCTTTGAGAAAAATTTCAGATCATTTGCGCACTTCGTTTTTCAAGAATAATTATTCAAATTGTAAAAAAATGACCCAAAATAAAAGCGTTTAAACACATTTCACGCAGATCAGGCTGAGAAAAGCATAAAAAATCGATTTTCAATTTATTTCAAAGTATATTTCTTCACTATCTGTGCATATATTTCTGTATCAAGTGCCCCGGCTCATTTCTGTAGAAATTCAAATGTTATGTTTTAGGCTTTTAAACCTCAATGGAGTGAGTCCCTTTAAATTATTGGTACATATTGAGGTGACACAAGTTATAACAATCTGAATGAAAGAAGCTTTAATGCAAACGGCCAGTGGTATAGGAGGTGCTGTTTTAAGGATTTTTTACATACAAGACTGATATTATACAACAAAATATAGTCAAAAGTAGAAATGTGCCCACAGGACTTGAATGCCTGCGTTAAGAACAATGCTTATATTGAGTGGGTAATCAAAATATGTACATAATTAGACAAGCCCACTGGCAGCATATCGAGCCTGTTGCCTTTATTCAGAACTGAACCTTAAAGCTTCAGATTGGGGAGAAAGATGTATACATAAGTGAACATTTCATGATTTGTGATAAATGTTATGAAAATCCAGCCATGTATATAGAAATATACTCTCATGTTTTAATTTATTATTTGACTTTTGATCCACAGAGTTACTAACGTCCCCTGTCTCAGGGATGTTTTATATGAAACAAAAAATTGTGCTATTTCAAAAGATTGAGCCAGGGATCTAAGGATTTTCAGTCCAAAATTATGATCAATGCTAGATCTGCAAATGCAACAATATATTTATTAAAGAAATAAAATGAAATACTGAATTTCAAAATCTATCATGTTAAGCTTTGCAGGGATTTTTTGGCTCATTTTATAGCCGTTATTGGGACATATTATTTTCCCAATCCACAGGAAAATATTCCCAATTGAAAGTTACAAAAATATAGATATTGAATAAAGAATTCTAAAATCTTTGAAAATAAGGGCTTCTTCACTGTTATAGTGTTAAAATGTTTGAAGAAGCCATCCTAGGCAGTGATTGCTTGCATACATTTAATCACTGCAAAATTTCAGTCATGTATTTTTTCCCAATTTTTAACAAAATATTGCTGAAATTCCCAGTTCCATGGGTATGGGTTATGTTCCCAAAATCCTGGAAAAAATCCCTGCTTTGACCTCTAAGTGTGACCTTGACCTTGGAGGTAGGGGTGCAGGTGTTGTGCATGACATATCATCTTATCATTGTAACTATTTGTGCCAAGTATTTTCAAAATCCCTTCATCTATGAAGAAGTTATGGACGGTGCATAAAATATACCATATAACAGACTTTGTTACCTTTATACCTCTAAGTGTGACCTTGACCTTGGAGGCAGGGGTGCAGGTGTTGTACTTGACATATAGTCTTATTATTGTGACTATTTGTGCCATGTTATTTCAAAATTCCTTGAACTATGAAGAAGTTCTACATTGGACACAATATATACCCTTTAAAAGACTATGTTAATTTTTTACCTCGAAATGTGACCCTGACCTTGGAGGTAGGGATGCAGGTGTTGCGCATGACACATTGTCTTATTATAGTGAATATTTGTGCCAAGTGTTTTCAAAATCCTTTGATATAGGAAAAAGTTATGGACCGGACAAAAAAATACCCTATAACAGGCTATGTTATTCTTAGACCTCCAAGTGTGACCTTGACCTTGTAGGTTGGTGACCGATTGTTGCGCATGACACATCATCTCATTGTTGTGAACAACTGTGGCAAGTATTTACAAAATCCCTTCAAGATAAGAAAGGTATAGACTGGACACGAGATATACCCTCAAATAGACAATGTTGACCTTGAATGAGCAAGTGTGACCTTGACCCTGGAGGTAGGGGTCTGGTTATTGCGCATCATCATCTTATTATAACAAACATTTGTGCCAAGTTATTTCAAATTCCTTCAATAAATGACAAAGTTATGGACCAGACACGAAATATACCCTGTAACAGGTTATGTTAATATTTGGCCTCCAAGTGTGACCTTGACCTTGGAGGCAGGTGACCTGTTGTTGCGCATGACACATCTTCTCATTATTGTGAGCAATTGTGGCAAGTATTTACAAAATCCCTTTAGAGATAGGAAAGTTATAGACCAGACACGAGATATACTCTCAAATAGACAATGTTGACCTTGAATGAGCAAGTGCGACCTTGACCCTGGAGGTAGGGGTCTGGTTGTTGCACATGACTCATCGTCTTATTATAACAATCATTTGTGCCAAGTTATTCAAATTCCTTCAATAAAACCTTGAAGTTGATAAAGATTTGTTCATACATATTTCAACAAGAGGGCCATGTGTATATAGGCCCCTGGAGCGGGGCCAGTTTAAACCCCAGGGCTTTTATTTGAACAAACTTGTATGACACCCATTAGAAGATGTTTCATGATGTTAAGTTTTTACTACACAAATATAATGTAAAACAAAGACCTCTGCACCACCACCCACCCCCGGCATGGCCAATTTTTATCCAAGGGCTTAAATTTGACCAAACTTGGTAGACACCATAAGAAGATGTTTCATGCTAAACATCTAGGCTCTAGCTCATTGGGTTTTTTAAAAGAAGATTTTTTAAGTTTTTACTATACACATATAGTTAAAAACAATGAAACCCCTGGGGCGGGGCCAGTTTTGACCCCAGGGCTTTTATTTGAACAAACTTTGTACACACTTACCAGAAGATGTTTCATGCTTAATATCTAAACTCTAGCTATTTGGGTTTTTTCAAAGAAGGTTTTTAAGTTTTTGCTATACACATATAAGGAAAATCAATGACCCCCGGTGCGGGGCCAATTTTGACCTCGGGGCTTTTATTTGAACAAACTTTGTAGACACTTACCAGAAGATGTTTCATGCTTAATATCTAAACTCTAGCTATTTTGGTTCTTTAAAAGAAGATTTTTAAGTTTTTACTATATGCATATAGGGAAAATCAATGACCCCTTGGGGCCGGGCCAATTTTGACCCCAGGGCTTTTATTTGAACAAACTTGGTAGACACTCACTAGAAGATGTTTCATGCCAAATGTCTAAGCTCTAGCTCTTTGGGTTCTTTAAAAGAAGATACTTTGTCTAAGCTCTAGCTCTTTGAGTTCTTTAAAAGAAGATACTTTAAGTCATTTTCTTTTGGTTGCCATGGCAACCAGCGTTCTGCATGAAATTAAATTCTATGAACAATATTTAAAGGTGACCACCAAAGGAACATTCCTGTAAAGTTTGGATGAAATTGGCTTAGTGGTTTATGAGGAGATTTCATTTAAAGTAAAAGTTTACGGACGGACGCCGGACGAAAAGCGATCAAAAAAGCTCACCCTGTAACTTTGTGACAGGTGAGCTAAAAATAGTTAAGTGATCTTATTTTCCTGGTGAAAAACTGGTGGCTCATTAAAGTTCTATACATATTATGATATTTCAAATATTGGAAAGTTATCTCTAGTTATTGGTGAAAGACTGGTGACTAGTTTTCTCCTCAATGTCATTTCTTTTTCTAATTAGATTAAGTCATGGTACTATATTCATGAGGCTTTCGACATCACATCTAAGAACTCATTATCCAACATTGCAAAGGGCAGGCAGTCTCCTGGTATTCCAATTTCTTTTAAGTTTTATAAAACCACAATTTTTCTATTTCTTAAGTGTTTCCGACATGAAGACACATCTACATGTATCTTTCCTTATCGCTCCTGCTTTATCTGTTCTATCATATAAGCGCCTCTGTTTCCTGAAATATTTGTTTAGAAAAAGTTAATTGCAAAATTAAATTAAAATTCCACTATTTTTGTAAATTTTTTTTTTGGGGGGGGATTTTCAGCACAATTTCCTTCCAGCTTTACTGGTTGAGGAAGACCTTGGTGCACCTATGTGTATGATTTCAGGCACATGGATACCATCAATGTTCCATAAATGAGCTTTCTCACATGAAAAAATGCTGAGCTTGAACTTACAGCAGTGAAAGGAGTCAATAAACTAAAACAATCAGTCACAGACACCCCGGGTATTTTATCTATTTGCTTAGCAGCAATTTTTTCAAAATTATTCAAATTCATAAATGTGAGTGATTCTGGCTAAGTGATGATAAGATGATCATATATGTCAGATATGTTGGAGTGCTAACACTGCTTACTGTGAATATTCAATATTTTAATGTGAATTGTCCTGAGGTGAAAAGGAAAGGAAAGCTGAATTCCTAAATACATGTTACATGTCACAATTGTTCTTGCTATTAATTTTGTTCCTAATTTCTTGTATAAGATATTTAAATACACTAATTCTTTTTTATAAATTTGGCTTTTTGTGACAATAGTCTATCCAGTGACAGAAGCTCACTGACTTAAAATAAACTGTCCTGTGTCAGCCTTTAAACAAGTCAAGAAAAAAAAGCTATTAGAAAATAATAATTAAGAAATATCATATACAAATACTTCTAAATAATCATGTACCTCTTCCTTAAATGCCCATGCTATTGAAAGAAATATTTTTCCATTTATTCACTTCAAGGTTAGTCAGATTGACAGTCTCACATTTTAGCCTTTATCTCTCATGATTTCATTGTCATTGACCCTAAAGCATCCTTAAAATCGATATCCTGCTGTTCACATTTATAAATCTGACATGTAGGCCGAACTTCTGAAAAACAAGATATGTTTGTAAAACATGTATGCCCCCTATCAGCAGCCAATTATTCATGTGATAAGGTAATTATGCATGACTTCTGACCCAGTGATCAAACAATTAATAAGGGTTATCAAGTATCTACTGGTCATGACCTTGACCTTTGACCCCTTGACCCAAAACTCAATAGGGGTCATCTGCTGGTCAAGACAAATCATCATACAAAGTTTGAAGTTCCTAGGCCTAAGCGTTTTTACTTAATTGATCAGAAAACCGTTTTTACTTACAAGGTCAATGTGACCTTGACCTTTGACCCCTTGACCCCAAAATCAATAGGGGTCATTTGCTGGTCATGACTAATCACCATGCCAAGTTTGAAGTTCCTAGGCCTAAGGGTTCTTTTATTATTGATCCGAAACCGTTTTAACATACAAGGTCAATGTGACCTTGACCTTTGACCCCAAAATCAAAAGGGGTCATCTGCTGATCATGACCAATCACTATGCCAAGTTTGAAGTTCCTAGGCCGAAGTGTTCTTTAGTTATTGATCAGAAACCGTTTTTACTTACAAGGTCAATGTGACCTTGACCTTTGACCCCTTGATCCCAAAATCGAAAGGGGTAATCTGCTGGTCATGAAAAATCACCATACCAAGTTTGAAGTTCCTAGGCCTAAGCGTTCTTAAGTTATTGATCAGAAACCATTTTCACTTACAAGGTCGATGTGACCTTGACCTTTGACCCCTTGACCCAAAACTCAATAGGGGTCATCTGCTGGTCACCACCAATCATCATACAAAGTTTGAAGTTCCTAGGCCAAAGCGTTTTTAGTTAATTGATCGGAAACCGTTTTTACCTACAAGGTCAATGTTACATGACCTTTGACCCCTTGACCCTAAAAACAATAGGTCATCTGCTGGTCATGACCAATCACCATACCAAGTTTGAAGTTCCTAGGCCTAAGGGTTCTTAAGTTATTGATCGGAAAGCATTTTTACCTACAAGGTCAATGTGACCTTTCCCTTTGACCCCTTAACCCCAAAATCAGTAGGGGTCATATGCTGGTCATGACCAATCACCATACCAAGTTTGAAGTTCCTAGGCCTAAGGGTTCTTTAGTTATTGATCGGAAACTGATTTTACCTAAGAGGTCAATGTGACCTTGACCTTTGACCCCTTGACCCCAAAATCAATAGGGGTCATCTACTGATCATGACCAATCACCATACCAAGTTTGAAGTTCCTAGGCCTAAGGGTTCTTTAGTTATTGATCCGAAACTGTTTTTACCTAAGAGGTCAATGTGACCTTGACCTTTGACCCCTTGACCCCAAAATCAATAGGGGTCATCTACTGATCATGACCAATCACCATATCAAGTTTGTAGTCCCTAGGCCGAAGTGTTCTTTCGTTATTGATCGGAAACCGTTTTTACCTACAAGGTCAATGTGACCTTGACCTTTGACCCCTTAACTCCAAAATCAATAGGGGTCATCTACTGATCATGACCAATCACCATATCAAGTTTGAAGTCCCTAGGCCTAAGGGTTCTTTCGTTATTGATCGGAAACCGTTTTTACCTACAAGGTCAATGTGACCTTGACCTTTGACCACTTAACCCCAAAATCAATAGGGGTCATCTGCTGGTCATAACCAATCACCATACCAAGTTTGAAGTTCCTAGGCCTAAGGGTTCTTTTATTATTGATCGGAAACCGTTTTTACCCAAGAGGTCAATGTGACCTTGACCTTTGACCCCTTGACCCAAAATCGTTAGGGGTCATCTACTGATCATGACCAATCACCATACCAAGTTTGAAGTTCCTAGGCTTTAAGGTTCTTTAGTTATTGATCGGAAACCGTTTTTGCTTACAAGGTCAATGTGACCTTGACCTTTGACCCCTTGACCCCAAAATCAATAGAGGTCATCTACTGATCATGACAAATCACCATACCAAGTTTGAAGTTCTTAGGCCTTAAGGTTCTTTAGTTATTGATCGGAAACCGTTTTTGCTTACAAGGTCAATGTGACCTTGACCTTTGACCCCTTGACCCCAAAATCAATAGGGGTCATCTACTTGTCATGACCAATCACCATACCAAGTTTGAAGTTCCTAGGCCTAAGGGTTCTTTAGTTATCACTCGGAAACCATTTGGTCTACGGACCGACGGACCGACGGACCGACAAGTGCAAAGCAATATACCCCCTTTTTTTCAAAAGGGGGCATAATAAAATATAATTATTATTAGATATACATATAGTATCCCAATTATTATGTTAGTTGATATCAAATCAATAATTTAAGCAGCTAATGTTCGAAATTAGCAGTAGTCTGAGAGCCCGACTACTAAATTTCTCCTCGGGCTACCAACTTTTCACAGTAAAAAGCCTGACCAGGCTACTGTATTTTCAGAGGCAATATAAACAACTGTTTTGAACAAATGAATCGTGCTAGTGAAATGTCTTTTGGGCAAGTAAATATTTCAATCTAATAGTCCGACCAGCCAAGTCGATTCAAATCCTAATTTCTAACACTGTTTAAGAGACAATTTGTTCAAAATTGTCCAAGCATAAAGATTTTTATAGTATACTATGTATATGTTAGTGTTCATCCGTGCTGTTCTACAGAAATAAGAAACTTCGACGGGAGCGATAGCGACAGGAGAATGTTTCTTATTTCTGTAGAACAGCACGGATGAATACTAACATAGTTAGCGTCAAACTTTATTTGGCCTCATTATCATTCACTTTATTATGTCACTATGCGGTTTTATGAAGTACCATGAAAAATAGAAGTCGACTATGGAGGTAATTCGATATAGTATCGACTTTTGTACTTCTATGAAAATTAACGCACACAATTTTTAAGAGATACAGCGTTTTCATTGGATGACAAATAAAGTTGGACACTAAAGTAATTATAGTATATATACAGTATGTATTAAAATTTAATGTCTTTACTACTCTACTATACTGTCCTGAAATTTCAAGAAAACAACTATCTTTAAAATCCATTGTCTCAGAAGTTGCAAAACCAAGTAAATGAAATTGTTCTGTATTTGTATTATTCTGCACAACTTCTGATCACAAAAGCTTCAAGGACATTTATGAGTGAGTCAGGTCCTATCCTGAAAGATTGTTGTTCAAGCATTCAAAAATAACAAAGTTATAGCTACTAATAGCAAAAATCAAGAAAATTTAGACATTTACCTTGAATGTTAATATGGTGGTCAAGTTAATTAAGTTTAGTCTAGTCTATTTGAAGGGTTGTTGTGGCCATGTATGAAGACAATACACCAAGATCTGAAAAAGTTATGAACAAGGTTAAAGTTTTTTGACAGCAAATAGGAAAGCCGTCATGACTAAAATATATTTTGGCCCTAATGCAAACTGAAAATTCTAGCCTATAACACTGTTGAGACTAGCTGTTCAGCATTTTTTCAATAATAAATAAATGCAATGATTAAGTCGGTAACTTGCAAGTCTTCTAACATTTTTACAAAGAATGAACATATGTATTTCTTCCTAATAATTCTAAAATGATGTTCAGTCATTTATATTATAACAAGATATCGGAAAGATTATAGATATATCAGAAATGAATTGGCCCGTGGACTTTAATGTCAATCATAGAGCTCTTATGCAAAAAGTAATGGTAAGCAAACATCCAGCATGAAATTTTCAAGTAGCCAGAAGTTAAAATAAATTATTTAAAAATACTTTGTCATGATTCAACTACTGCTGAAAATTGACCCACATGTTTGATTACAAATTTATAACATCTATATTGTCCATAGAAATAATAAATTAATTTTCAGTCTCTTTCTCTTTGCGCTTTCACACAGATTTGAATTATTCAAGTCCATGATTTTTCAGAAGGAAAAAATCTTCTGATCATCAAACACTAAAAATTACCATACCAACTGCAAATTGCAGTCTGTGCGAAAGGCTGTCGGTCCTCGGACCTCGCCAAATAAAAATCAGGAGGGCCGAGATAAATTTTGATACAGTGATCGAATATCAATTGTACACAACAGTTAAATATATTATAAACTTATTTCTATGTTAATAGATAGTCTATATACAATAGATATGAAAAAGCAAATCCTACACAACAGTCAACACTGTAAATTCGAATCAGGGTCAGCTCGGCCCTAAAATGTACTTGGCCCTCGAGTCAGCTTGGCCCTATTCCAACTCAGCACGGGTCAACTCGGCCCATTATTATATATTACTGGTAATGATTACTTTTCATACTTTTGATATGTTTTCATCATAACTTTCATGGTTTTAACATTTTCACACTACTGGTCAGGGACCATCAACCGGACACTTTTTGAACATTTTTCCTATAGATTTCATAATTTTTAACCTAGAGATAAAAAAAATTGACACAGTTCAGCTAGGCTCTTCTCCTAACTAACAAACTAGTTTGTTTATTTCTGAATGTATTGACTCTAATATCTGAGGCTCAACAAGAAGGGTATCAAAATTACCTCAATTGTCAACACTACAGTACCACGTGTCCGGACAGATATGTACATGACGTGATTTAATTTAGATAAAAGCTTGGGTGCTATGATTTTTGACTTTTAACATGATATACAATATTTCAGCAACAAATTATGCTGAAGTTTTGGATATTCTACTGTTTACTCTGCAAATGATTATAGCTGGTATATGAGGTCAGGCATTGCTTTCTTGGCCCCCAAATTTCAACGTCAGCATTCTTGAAATAGACATTAAAATATTAACATTTACGGAGGTTGAAATAAATTTATTTACTTAATTTTAGAAGAAACATGCATTTATTGTTGATATAAAAATGACTGACCACCACTGAACAAAGAAAATTCTAAATTAAGCATTTTTGGGACCGTCCGGGTTTGGTGGTTGTCCGGTTTTGGTGGTCCCCAACCAGTACTGTAACAGACATCTAGGCCCTACTCAAGGATATTGAAAAGTTTTATTGATGAAAGTACCAATTTGTATGTGAATTTGTAGAGAAAGAAAGAATTTACAATTTAAACGCATATTTTGCTACTCCAGATTTTTTGTAAAAAACATCATTAAAAAAGCATTTGTCATATTAAAGAACAGACAGTATTAAATACAATAAAATTCATTGTCACAAAAATTCAATCTAAAAACTCTATTTATTGATCAATATTTAACATATATTGTCTTGTCTCTTGATATCTCTTCTTCAGATAATTATTTACCTTAAAGATAATTTCAAACAATATGTTATTAACTAAACAATCTATATCCTAATCCTAATATAATAGCTGCCGGTTTCTTTTTGCCGCGCCAGTTTTTGGCAAATTCAACCCCTATTTTTACGTGCTTTAAAAAAATGAAAACTATCTTAAATTGTCATATTTACTAAAAGGTTTAAAAGTTAATATGTTTTGTTTTTCTATCTTTAATACTTTTTTGTAAAAATGCATTTAAAGTTTGCATTTGCCATGGCAAAGTGTGTTTTGCCATGGCATTTCGGCATTTTGCCATGGCAAATAATTTGCCATGGCAAATTAGAATTGCCATGGCAAGATTTTTCCTACTTTTGCCATGGCAAATTTGCCATGGCAATTATTTTTTTAAAACATCACAAAACTTTCTAAAACTTATCCTATGACATGTTTTTGGTCGTATTGTTATGTTTTTATTGTAATCTCTAATTTTTTTTCATTTTGCCATGGCAAATTTTTGCCATAGAAATGCCATGGCAAATTTCTGCCATGGCAAGATTTGCCATGGCAATTCCATGGCAAAAAAATTTGCCATGGCATGTCCATGGCAAAAATTTGCCATGGCAATTGCATAAAAGTTTGCCATGGCAAAATATTATCAATAAAAAAACATATTTGCTTTGAATTTTTTTTATAAATTTATACATGGCAAATGACATATTAAGGAATATAATGTTTAAAATTTTAAAGTTTACGCAAAGAAATTCTTTTCAACCACGGGTCCTATTGATTAGAATAGATTGTATATGACATTTTAAAATGACAATAATTATAAGATCAAGGATCAAATATAATCATTGATGCTAAATAATAATAATAAAGTTTGAGTGGTAGTTATATAATAGTGAAAAATATGAATCCCTAGAGAAAGCCCAACACTGCAAATGTGAAAATTTGAGCCTGTTCATGGACGGTACTGGTAGTCCAGTGGTAG